TACTGGCAGTATTTGCAGAGACACACACACACAAAACATGTTGGCAGTATTTGCAGAGACACACACACAAACAAATTCGCAGTATTTGCAGAGACACACACACAACATATTGGCAGTATTTGCAGAGACACACACACAAACATATTGGCAGTATTTGCAGAGACACACACACAACATATTGGCAGTATTTACAGAGACCCACACAAAACATATTGGCAGTATTTGCAGAGACCCACACAAAACCTATTGGCAATATTTGCAGAGACACACACACAAACATATTGGCAGTATTTGCAGAGACACACACACAACATATTGGCAGTATTTACAAAGACACACACACAACATATTGGCAGTATTTACAGAGACCCACACAAAACATATTGGCAGTATTTGCAGAGACCTACACACACAAAACTTGTTGGCAGTATTTGCAGAGACCTACACACACAAAACTTGTTGGCAGTATTTGCAGAGACCGACACACACATATTGGCAGTATTTGCAGAAATTCGAGTAAGCAGAGGGACGGGCAGCCCCAGGAGTAACCAGTGCAGACGGATGGTTGTAAGGAGCACCGTGCCGTGCCCTGCCTGCCCTGAGCACCTCCACACGTCCACTCACTCCATCCTTTCAACAGCACCAGCAGGTCAGTCCTCTTATGCCCATTTCGCAGACGAGTCCCAAGGAAGCAGGACCACTAAGTGTGAAACCACAGACCCTTTCAACTTTTAGGAGGAATCCTAATAACAGGAACCCTGGTCTCAGATTCTAGAACAGTGATTTTCAAGGAGACTGCTGGAGCTAAGGAGAGGAGACCATCTCGTACCTTTACCTCAACTCCCAGCAGAGCAGGGCTGCTTTTTTCCAGAGTTTTAATTTAAAGAAAATACTTTCCAACTAAAAACATTAGAAGTCTCAGCATGCCACTCGAAACAATAATCTCAAAGGAGACAACTGCCAAACGCATGTGAAATTCTCCATCACAAAGTGACTGGAGGAGTAGGAGCTTGGCCCTCAGAGTGGTTTGTAAAACTTAAATAACTTGCCAGCACTTAAAAAATCATGAGATTTCACGTAACAGTCTGGGCGTGGCAACACAGGGCCCATCCTCCCACACGGCAATGGCCAGTTGGAGCTGGGCAGCCACTGCCCACTTGGCATGAAGCAATTCCCACTGTCCTCACCAGGGCCACTTCAGGCTTGGACATTGCCTGTGACCCTGTGGCATTTGAGTGCACCAGCCCAGCTCTAAGAGCTTAAGCCCTCCCTCCGAATTTAAACACATCCCAGGTTATAACATTACTTGTGAGAGTTGTTCCAGGATTGCTGAAAACTCCCTTTAGCACCTCAGTTTTTCTTCCCAGGGCAGATGGCTCTTAAACAAGTGTCTTGACCTACTTCTGACTTCAAAGGAGCGGGCCAAGCCTGCTGCTTAATAGTGGCCTGTGGACATTTCTGTGAAGTCTAGCAGGCACAGGATCCCATCTGTCCCCAGCTGGTAGACGTAGGCAGACGGCCTCACAGCTCAGCTTCTCCAGAAAGTTCAGATTCGTTTTTGAATGGTGTTTGAGGAAAACACTTACATTTCCAGACAATACAACCTATTAAAGATAACATATTCTGTGGGTGTGGCACCCTTTCTTTTATTTGCCCTGAGATCATCTCTTCCAAGTAGCCAAAGGGTCTTCTTCTGTCATTCACTGAGGTTGCTAATGCTGTCATCACCAGTCTCTCCATTCTTTTTCTAATTTTTCAAAACCAGATTGTATATATATATATATTTATGTCTGCCTTCATCCAAATCGTTTTCACTCAGTCTTCCAGACATGTGCCCAACTTGGTCCTCCTCAACCAAGAATAGTGAGAGATGATTATGACTTGAAATTCCCACATCCAAAGACAGTAGAATTGGTGTGGGGCCCAACTCTTTACTGACCAGCCGTGTGACCTTAGCAGAGTCACGTCAGCTCCCAGAACTTCAGCTTCCTCATCTGTAAAGCGGAGATTATAATCATCGGTCATTCAGCCAGTCAGTCACCCTTGCTGAGCACCCCCAGTGGGCCAGGCTGGGCTCCAAGCCCTCCTGACTCAGGGGAACAGAGCAGAGCTGGCCCCACCTCACGGAGCTCAAGGGGGGCTGCGGAGGGACGGGAGACTCCCTGAGGGGCGAGTGAGCTGTGATCTTGAGGGAGAGCAGGAGTTAGTGAGGAGACAGATGGTCCCTTCACCTCACTCCCTCGTCCGGGCCAAGGGAATGGCCCGTGGGAAGAGGCTGACCCGGGAGGCAATCCTGAGGCAGTGATGGGGAAGTTGGGGCCGGATCAAGCAGGCCCTTCTCCCCCGCCAGCCTCGCCTCTGTGGACTGAAAAGCGCCCCGCGTGCTGGCTCCTTGGCGTCCGTGTCACTGCGGACAGCCATTTTCCTCTCAGCTCCGGGGCTGTGGGAAGGACTTTCCTGGTAAGGAGAGGCCGCCATGCTTGGCTCTGGCCCTGGCCTCCCTCCGGGGGCCAGAGCCACACAAAGCCTGCTCTGTGGGTAAGCTTCGACGGAGGGAGCCCGCCCGGCGACACCTTCCTGGTGTCAGTGCCACCCCACACCCAGCATTTCTCCGAATCCTTTAGGCCCTCTTGGCTTCCAGAAACAACGTGACCCTCTTCAAGTGCCAAAGAAAATAAGGAGGGGGTGGAGGTGGAGAGGGAGTGAGATGGAGACTTGGCCAACGCTTTCCATGAAAAGAAGTAAGTTGTGTCGTCCACCTGCCCTGCACGATGCCATCCCCAGGGGCTCCGCTCAGGACCCCACGGGAGAATTTCAAGGCTCACAGACATCTCTCACCAGAGCACCAGGAAAGTCAAGGCCCCAGGTCTGCTTGAGCCAGAAGTCAATGGACGAGTGAACAGATCAGGCGGGAACAGCCACCCTGTTCCCAGGAGACCCCACTGGCCATGAGGGTCCCCACAGGCTGGTGGGCCTGCTCCAGCCAGCGGCCAGGGAGCAAGAAGAGAGGCGTTGGCCTCCCCAGCCCTTGCTGTCCTCATCCACCAAGGAGAGGCGATCATATCAGCCTCAGCCATCCTGGCAGAATACCAGCTCCTCGATCCACATGCGTATAGAATTCTGATTAAAAATTTAAAATAAATCAAGACAAATCTTTTGTTTGTTTGACCACCCCTCAATCCACTCCATGGTGGGAAAAGAGATTTCTGGAAGCGCTCTGGGTTTTAGGGGGAACCTCAGTTTCCTCCTTGGTGAAACAGCCCGATTGTACCTATTTGGGAGGATTCGAGAACTTGAGAAGCTGACGCACGGGGTGCTCAGAGAGCGAACAGCTGCCGGGGCAGAGGACCCATCTCCTGCCTGGGACTGGAAGCTCCATAGCTCCACGGGGGGCAGAGGCAGCAAATGCAGCATGTAAAAGGGGGATCCGAACCGCCTCGTTGCCATTCGCTGTGGAGTCTAAGTCACGAGTGACCCTATCTGTCGTCCACACAGCCTGAGCCAGTCACCTATGCCGTACTCTGCTCTCTGCCTTGCTCCACAGGCCTTAGCCTCGCTCCAGCTCTCTGTCTGCCTCCACCTCTCTCTCCACGGTTCCTCTCTTCCCTGTGATGATGCTCTGAGGACCAGAATGATGGAACAGGAACTGCAACGGCTTTCAAGTTCAGAGTGGGGTTCTAATCCCAGCTCTGCCACACACTGGCTGTGGGATCCTGGGCAAGTCCTCCGTGACCCTCAGGTTCCTCGTTTGTGATCTCCTGAGGGACAGGGACCAAACCTCTCCTTCACCATGAATCCTTAGTGCAAATTTGTTGCTTCACATACACTAGGTATTGAAGGACAACCTTCCTAATAGCATTAAAATTTTCCAGGCTGTGTTCTAAGTACTTTTACATGTATGAACTCATTGAATCTGCAGAACAACTCTATGATAGGGGTGCTGTCGTTGTCCCCACCTTAGCAGTGAGGAACTGGGGCTGACATTGAATGAATGAATGAGTACCATGTCAGGTGCAAGAATGATTTATGTCACAGAGCCTGACCATGTACCTGGTACCTCACCTCTTCTGTACCCTGTCACCACCTTTCCTGTTTCTCCTGGCATTGGGACCGAGCCCTTGAGCCCCAAATCTCTACCCTGGGCCAGGTATGGCCAGCCCCCCAGACCAGAAGGCACCCACCTCTGTGTGGGTGAAGGGGTGCTGGTCTCAGGATAGAAATTCTTCAAAACACCACCGAAACCACGAAAACAACAATACAACCAACTCCCCCGCACCCCCTTCCTTCAGGAGAGCCCACTGTGGTGATCCACGGTCTGCCAGCCTCTGGGCAAAGTCTCACCACCTCAAGGCCCTCAGCATGAGACGGCCAAGACGGCGCACAGACCAACGGCTAGTGCTGGCAGCTGTCCACAGGGCAGAAGGAGTCGAGTCGGTGGCCAGTGGTGCCCGACACGCAGCAGGCATTTAACAACTCCTGAATTGACTGATGATTTTCTAGGCACCACATGGCCTATAGACAGTAGCTAACCCAAACTGCATAATGGCCCCGTGAGCTGGACATACTACACCCATTGTACAGATGAGGAAACTGAGGCTTCCATGACTGTGGACCCTGCCAAGTGGAAAGCCGCAGCGCGAGGGTGTGAGCCAGGCTTGCAGCCTCCAAAGCCTGTCCTCTTGTTGCCTGAAAGGCCCTGCTCTCCCCTCCCCACGGGCTCCCCTCCTCCGAGCGCCAGAACCGGGCGTGGGTGCTCCCGGGCGGTGACGGGCGAGAGCGCGTTCCCTGTCCTGCCCCGAAGTCCCCCGTGGGATCCAGTCCCTCAGGTTTGCTGTGCAGTGGAAGGTGAGGGGGGCCCCAGCAGGACCCCCCCAGGGCAGCAGGCCCTTTCTGCTCGGTGGACCAGCGGTGGGGATGGTCACACAAGCAGAGCCTTCTTCGGGCTTCTTCCGGAGGCTCTCCTGGGCCGTTGTCCCTCACTTCTCTCTCCTCTGGTGTAGCCGGTGACCCCTACTGGACGTCGGTGCACCCCGAGTACTGGACGAAGCGCCACGTCTGGGAGTGGCTCCAGTTCTGCTGCGAGCAGTACAGGCTGGACGCCAGCGGCATCTCCTTCTGCCATTTCAACGTCAGCGGCCTGCAGCTGTGCAGCATGACACAGGAGGAGTTCAGAGAGGCGGCCGGCGTCTGCGGGGAGTACCTGTACTTTATCCTCCAGAACATCCGCGCGCAAGGTCGGTGTCCAGGGGGCCGGGGCCCGGGGTGGGACCAAGGGACCTCGCGAGGCCCTTCCCCGCCCTGGGACTCACACAGCAGGGTGGTCAGCCGGAGTTCTCTGTTAACCACAGTCCCCTGTTCACCAAACCCCTCACACCGGGAAGCTCGAGTTTGCCAGAATTGGAGACTGTAGGTAAAAGGGAGCAAGTTACAAGGAAGCGAGTTTGGTCCATTTTTCAAAAGAAAAGAAAAGCTAAAGCCACATTCAGGGCTCGCCCAGGACCCAGGCTGACACAGCGAGATAATGCATTATGTTCATAAAGATTTGCAGCCATAAAAGGTGGACAAAAGAGCGGTGTGCTTGACGCTCCACAAGCAGGAGGAGAGGAGACCGCCCGGAGCCTCTCCCTCCGCGTTTCCGGAGGAGGCCAGCGGCTTGGCACTTCCTCCTGCCGCTCTCTGGGTGAGCAAGGACCGAGCGGCCGCGAGGTGGCGCCAGGAGCCTGAGTGGAGGTCCGCACGGGGCGGGAGGAGAGTGCGGAGGGACAGGCTTTTGAGGACCTGGAGTTCTGTATCCCCTCGTCACAGATACAGGAACTAAGGTCCCGAGCAGTTAAGTAACTTCAGGTCACACAGACACAGGGTCGACGGTGGAAAGTCAGGGCAAAGCAGGGGCTTTGAAATCAGAAATAGCTGCGTTCCAACACGGGCTCCACGTCTTCGGAGCCAGAAGACTTCTGGCAAGGGCTGAACCTCCACTGCCTCGTCTGTGCGGTGGGATAATGATCCACATCTCCACAGGCTTCTTGAAGGGTCCAGTGGAATATTACCTGCACAGCCTATGAGGGCACAAATGCAGTAAATGGCAGCATTTTTGTCATCATGAATGTAACCAAGAGGCAGAAATTTTAAAAATAAAGGAAAGATATCTCAGCTCCATTTTAAGAAAGGCCTTTCTAATAGTTACTACCTTCTTCTGGAAAGGCAGCTTCAGAAGGTACCTAAGGTAGGAAGCTCCCCATCACTGGAGATAATCAAGCAGTCTAAGAGCCCTCTGATTGGTGGGGATGCTGTGGCAGGGATTCCTGTTTGGGCAGAAAACCGTAGATGAGTTTCCGGCTCTAGGACTCTGTTCCTCCCCTTGATCCCCCCCATCATGAGTGCCTGAGGGCGGGAAAGCTGAGGATGGTCGGGGGGGGGGGGGGGGCACTGTTCAGCTTCTGCCATGGGAGCCACGGCCCACCAGGGGCAAGGAAGGGACAAACAGACCTGCTGTCCATTGTTGTCCAGCGTCTGCTTAATTACAGCCAGGGACAGTGACCTATGCTTAGAGTGGGCCCTCCCTGAAAAGGGGCAAGTCTGAGCAAGTCACAGGGGCTCGGGAGGGGCTCAGGCTCCGTTCAGAGCCCTCCCGAGGGAGCAGCCTTGCCCAAGAATCCCAGGGCCACGGAGAGGGAGGTGTTCCATCCGGGAAGAGGATGCAGCTTGGCGTTGCCAGCAGTGGCCAGACGTCAAGTGAGTCAAGTTTGCGTGCAGGCCCCGCAGCCCCTGACAGCACCTCCCTGGCACTTGTTCCCCCAAAATCTGTGTCCCTGGTCCTGTTGCCTCAGGGGCTGTCCGGACGAATACGCTAAAAACGAGCTGTTTCAAAGCAGGCCACAGGTTGCCTCTTCTTCCGAGGAACCCCTGGAGCCCGGAAGCCACCTCCAGTGGAGGAGTGTCGGGCACCGACAGGCCAGGGCAGCCACCGCGCTGGGCAGTGAACCGTGTGCTCCACCGCCCGCCCCACTCTGACTCCTCCTTAACTCTTCCTGACGTGGGAGTGTGGCTCGTGTGTGGAGATACAGGCAGTGTGACCAAGTGACAGTGTCCCAGTGTGCCCGGGACACACTGTTTCCACCTGGAATGATTTCACCATTGTTATCCTGGAATAGTTGCTCTTAGCACTGTCGTCCGTTCTCAGGAGCTTCTCATGTGGACGATGAATTATGTGGCAAACCGGTTATTACCTAGTTAGGCCTTTCATTACTCCATAGATCAGGGCTCTGCAGGCGAGGACAGAACAAGTCAGTCTGGGCCGGGAGAGGAGCTGGGGCTCCAGGGCCCGGCGTGCTGGCTGGCTCAGGAGATAGTTCAGCAGGATTCCAGGGCCCAGAAACTTGGGATGCTGGCCACTGGAAGGCGAGGTGTCCGGGAAGGGTGGAGGCGGCAGCTGGCTTCCACAGCGTAGGTGAGAAGTGGGCCCCTTTGGCAGCCCCCATCCTGTTCTCGGGTGGCCCTTTGGGCAGAGTGAACTGAGGGGCCGTGTCTGCCCAGAACCACTTGGAAAATAACACTAGGAGTAAACTGTCACCAATGTGCCCTGTCTCAGTCTCCTTAGTGAATGAAATCAGGGCTCGCAGTGGACACCGAGCTAGAAAGCAGGTGTCTTGTGACCTGTGCTGCTACAGAAAACACGATCCCAACCCCTAACTCTCCCCATTCTTCAGAGGAGCTGACCAAGGCCCGCACGGCTGCCCCAATCCTCATGGACCCCTCACTCGGGTTTCGCACTTCTTGTGGCCCCCTGTGCCCCTTTTCCCCTTTGACCAGCTCATGACAGGTGTTCAGATCTCCAAGGGATCAGAGGCCAGGTCAGAGATCACAGACTCTTCGAGCCAAAGGGCAGCTCGGTGAGCAACACGAGCCCGAATACTGAGTGACCGGGCAAGGCCACACAGGTCAGCGGCACAGCCCGGCTCAGAGCCCAGGCCTCCTGGTCCCGTGCTGGGACTCACTCCCCAGTGCCTGCTTGGAAAATTCTAGAGGCTGCTGGAATGCCTGGCCCTGGAGCTCTCTCTGGGTGGCACTTAGAAACCAGGAGATTGTCACCTCCCAGGGTTGGCTTCACGGGGGTCCCATAAGAGCCAGGTGGTCTCCAAGCTCCTTCTGAAACAAAACTGCCCCGCCAAGGGGAGAGTCCCTCCCCTTCTCCCAGCACCTCCGCCCCGGCCTGGCCAGGGACACCAGGATGGCATGTACGGTTTGTGGATTTCTCTTTCTTTCCCAGGTTACTCCTTTTTTAACGACACTGAAGAGACCAAGGCCGCCATCAGAGACTGTAAGTACCGAGTTCAAGCCACCCCAGGCCGCGCCAAGGCCGCTGTTGGGCTTGACCGTTGTTTAGGACTACACGGAAGGGTGAATGACCTGAAACAACCACAGACTAGAGAAGACAGCAGGAGGAACGTGGTGGACAGAACATGGGGCTGGGGTCCGTGGCGTCAGTTTCTCTGCCTATAAAATGGGTGTCGTGAGTTCAAGAAGCCGTACACAGGAAGTGCCTGGCATGTGCCAGCAGCATGGGGGCTCCAGAGACCGGTATCCGGTGGCAATAATAATCGCTGTTACTAACCCTTAGAGGCCTTGTGGTTGATAGAGCCTACAGGGAATCTGAGCTCACACAGCAGGTGCAGTCAGAGTTACGGGTGATGGAGGGTCTCAAACGGCCTGTTGATTCTGGAAATTAACCTTCCCTCTTCCACTTTTGCAGATGGAGAAGGTTTAGGAAAGGGACTCTTGGAGCTTGTATTTTTTAGAGATGAGGATGACGATGATTGCCATTGGTTACTGGGGGGCCCAGGAGAACATGTGGGTCCTGGCAGGCCCCGTGCTCCGTGGACCTCAGCTCTTTCCCCTGCAGAGAGAGGCCAGGGCTCACAGTCACTCCAAAGGCCTCTGAGAGTGCGAGCCGACGACAAACACAGAGGGCCGGTTTCTTATGATTTCTTTTTCCCTCCTTAAAGTCCCAAACAATCACCTGAGGCCTCAGTGACTCGGTTAAGGAAGGGTTTTGTTCAGAGCGTGGCGCAGGAACAGCCAGGTCCACGCACCGCCCGCTGAAGCAGGCGAGCCCGCGGGTCCCGGCTGCCCTCCAGAGCAGTGATGTCTTCCCCGAGGGCTCCCGCCGGCCGCGGGCCAGAACGTCTCCTCCTCCCGGGGCCGAAGCTCCCGCAGAGCTTCCCGCTCGGTCGAATCCCCTCTCGTCCATCCGCAGCAGCAGGGCTGCAAAGCCCAGCTTCCACCCCAGGCCCGCTCCAGGCAAAGCCCCTGGAAGAAACGAGCCCACCGAGGCCCAGGGGCATGACGGGGTCTGTCTCCAAAGGCCTGAGCCCAGGGCGGGCGCTTGCTCTGCTCTCGAAGCAGCGGTGAGTCTGACCTGACTACCCTTCCTCAGGGTCAGAGTCTCCACCTATAAATGGGCATTTTTTTGCCAGCCCGCCTTCCTCCCAGCACAGACGATGATGGGCCAGGAAGAGAGTGTCCCGTAAGTTACCTGAAAATGGAACCAGCCCCAATAGAAGCAGCCCCAGTTAGAGTCAATGCTATCATCATCATCATCATCATGGCAGCCAGCATGCACGGAGGGCTCGCTATGAGCCGCACCCCATGCTGGAATCTCGATAGACGTTGTCTCAGGTAATCTTTCCAGTACCCTTTAAGACGAGTCCTAGTACCGAAGCCTTTTTAAAGGGGTGGCAACTGAAGCTTAGAGGTTAAAGGGGACAAGGTTAGAGGGTGACAGATCACCCTAGCGTGTCGAAATCCAGAGCTCTTAACCCCTTTCTCCCCTCATCCATTTCTTTCTTTCCTTTTTCATTCGTGCATTCATTCAACAAACATTTATTAACACCTACTTTGTGCCAGGCCCAGAGCTAGGCACTGTGGCTGCAGTGATAAGCACAACTTAGGTCTTGCCCTCCTGGAGCAAGGGAAAGAGAGAGACATTAAACAAATAATCCCAATAATAAATATGTAACTGATAATCATGATGATATTACAGAGGAAAAGTGCAAGGTGCTTTGTGTGTAACGGAGGAAAGATCGCGTTAAATTAGGGACCAGGGAAGACTTCCTGAAGGAAGAGATATTTAAATTAGGCCTAAAGGATGAGCAGAAGTTAGCCAGGAAAAGAAGGAAGAAAAGGTTACAGGGAATGAATGGCAAGTGCAAAGGCCCAGTGGCAGGAACAAAAGGCTGGAAGGTTTAGCACTAGGTGGTTCAATAAAGTAGCCACTAGCCACATATGCCTATTAAATTTAATTAAAATTAAAGTTAAAATTCACCTCCTCAGCCACACTAGCCACGTTTCAAGTGCTCAATAGGCATAAGGAACTGGTAGCTACCATACTGGACTGCTCAGATTTCCATCCTCACGGAAAGTTCTCTTGGACAGCACGTTGGTAGAGCATCAGCAGGATCAGCGCAGGGAGGGGTGGGAGCCAAGTCCCCGAGCAAGGCAGGGGCAGGTCAGGGGCAGCTTTGTGGGCAGTGGGGTTTGGAGTTCATTCTGAGCAGGCTGGGAGGCACTGAGGCATGGCAACGATGGCTCCCGCTGCCCTGCAAGAATATCCGTGGGCTGCGTGTCTCAGAAAGGAGCCCAGCTAGGAATCTGCAGTCCAAGCGAGGAGGATGGCGGCCGGAAGCAGGAGACGGCACGGGGTGGAGAGAAGTTTCTGGAGGTCGAGGGGGCAAGGCAAGGGCTCCGAGCTGGCGTCCCTGGAGCACAGGTTCATGGAACAGCCCTCCATGGCTCGCGCTGCCCCAGGCTCTGCCCGGCGTGGGCCCTGCCCGGCCTGCCCCAAGAGGCACGCTTTCCAGACTGAACTCAGGCTTGAGGAGTCCGGTGAGAGCTCCTGAAAACCAGCGCCACAGGCTCTGCCGCCGGACAGCCTCCCCTGCCACAGCCAGGACCCCGCGGCCTTCCCGCTGGGCCCCGAGGCCCGTCTCTGGCTCCCCCACAGCCCTGACGACCACCCTTTCCCAAAACAGAACCCCTAATGCATATTTGATAGGCGCGAGGGCAGGTGGGAAGACGACAGGCTGGGGGTTCTACAACTGGCCTGTTCTAGGAAGTGCAGGGCCTACGGTCACGGTGCCTGGGGCTCAGGTGATGTGTCACGGTCTCGGACACCCCCCGACCCGGAAAGGACATGTGCCATGCCTGGGCCCAAGCCTGGCCCCCTGGGACAAAGTGGCATCCCGGGGCTTTAAGCGATGTTCGGTCGGTCTCCGGCGAGGATTAGTGGCTCTCATTGCCATGGCGAAACGCTTGCTCTCTGGCAGGTGCGGTGCCCGCCGTGTATCCTGCACATGGTCACTCCTTTACTCCTCGGGGCAGCTCGCTCGCTAGTCCTGTGACCCTTGTCTGCCTCCGAGGAAACCGGAGGAGTGCTAACTTGCGAGTAGACGCAGAGCGGAGGTTCTAACTCGTTCTCTCCGAGTCTGTGCTCTTAGATGGGGTGCCATTCACTGCACGCACACACGCACACACACAGATGCACACACCCCCATACCCTTGTCTTCAGTCTGCTGCCCACTCAGCGGAGCCCTGAGGCCCAGGACTCCTCTGGGTCTGGGCCCAATTCCACAGCAATTCAGAGCGCAGGATGATTTTCGCCTTAGCACCTGCTGAAGGGCCCAGGCCCAATAAGCTAGGAAACCATCAGCGCTGGCCCGGGTGAGGCCCCGGCCCCTCTGCACTTGTCTCTTCTCTCCCCGCTCTCCTCCCCCACCTCCACCGCAGAGATGCCGGTGAACAAAGCCTGCTGCGGGCCTGCGTTCGCTGTCGGGCTCCCGCTGCCGCTGAGGCTGAGCTTTTCCACGCCCTCCGGGTGTGGGGTGCAGGCTCTGTGGCACCCTGAGTGTGGTGGGGACATGATAAGCTTGTCTGGGGAACTCTGCCACTCCAGCCCCATGTCAGCTTCTGGAGGACAGTTGACCGTGATTTCAATCAACGGCTGAGAATATACCTTTTGGCCACATTTAAACTGTCTCCAGTTTCAAGGCAACCAAACTTTCCAAAGCCCACAGGCAGCAGAGAGCCAGGACCGTGCACCCCCCAGCCCACATCAGGGACACATTCGAGATGGGGACAGTTGAGACAGGGAGAGTCCCCACCAGCCAGGCTAGGGCCTCCAGTCCAGTCGACCCGTGAGGACCTGCAAAGCCACCCCTGAGAACAAGAACAGACAAAACAGGATCATCTCCGGCAAGACCCCCAAGGAGGAGGTCCCAGTGTCCCCATAACCGCCTCACGCCCACCTCTCCTGTGTCCATCCTCTCAAGCCAAATGGCTTCACTGAAGCATGTGGAAGAAATCATAACAATTAGAAGGGTGACTTTTTCCTCCGTCTTCTTGCCATTTTGGCATTTCAGTGAAAGCTTGTTGTCTATCCATCACTTAACAATTCCCCTCTGTTTCTCTTGGCCTCTCCATTTGTCTTCTCTCTTCCTGAAAGACTACGTGAGAACAGTGACCAGTCTGCATGGCAGGAGACGCCGGGCGGCATGGCGTTCCATCAGACGGGGGCAGAGCTCTTTCTTGGCCCTGGTGGGTCAGCTGTCAGCCCGGCCCTCCTGCCTTCCCCTCCCTCCGCCTGGCGGTGCCTCCGGATTCAGCCGATTTCCCCTGGGCTTCGTCTGTGGTTTGCGGGCACCGGCCTGTGTGGTGGGCCTGTTCTTTCACATCTGAGCAATTGCAGACTGTGACGTATGAGGGTGGAGAAGAGGCCTGGGGGCCTGAGCGTGAGGTGTGCGCTCACTCTGGTGACCAGCCCAGGGAGCGATGCCCTGTGGGCGTCAGAGCCGAGGCTCGGCCGTCAGCATGTTTGGACGCGATTTCAGCTCCACCGCGGGCCTGACGCTTGACCTGGCGCACGCCCCCCAAGCGCCCCCAGGCTCGCTCCTCTCCTGCTCTGCATAGCTCCTGGTCAGACAGCCTTCTCTGCTGTCTCTGGCTGAAACTGCAGCTTTGCTCGCCCCTTCGCGTCGCCTCCTCTCCTCCCACCCTGCTTCATTATTCCCCGTCGCATTCACCACCCACTGAAATGGCCCGTATTTGCGTGTTCGTTGGCTGTCCCTGCCCACCTGGCTGCAAGGCCCCCCGGGAGGAGAGACTAGACTCGTACATGCTGTACCCCCGTGCCTGGCACAGTGGGCACACTGCAGCTCAGCACTTGCGAATGAGGGAGCAAATGACCCGCAGTGGGCTGCCCAACCTCTCCATGCCTCCGTCTCCCGGTCAGTAGAATGGGGACAGCACCAATGAACATCACAAGGGCGGGTGACACTGAGTGAGCGCACAGCAATAGCAACCGCTCAACAAACTTAGCTAATTATTCCTCAGGCACCCAGGAATGCCTGCTGCGGAGGCGAGGCGCGGTAATGACAAAGCAGTGGCTGTGAATGTTAGCTTTGGAATGGAACTGCCCTGGGGCCGGAGTCCTGGCTCCACCACTCTGGATAAATTCGGAAACTCTCGGCTTCAATTTCCTCCTCAATAAAGTGGAAATAGCAGTAAGACCACACGGGGTCATTGCAGAGATTAAATGAGGTGCTGTCTGTGAAGCCCTTAACAAGTACTCAGTAAGTGCTCCATAAATATCAGCTAGTGAAAGAGACGAGATGGAGGAACCAGGAGCACACAGGTCCACAGGACAGAGAGGGACCTAACCCAGAGGGCCAGTTCAGAGAAGCCTTCCGGAAGAGGTTTTGTGAGAAGGAGAGTCAGCTGGGTGGAAGTGGGGAAGCTGCGCAAAGGCACTGAGGCAGGAGAAGCCTCGGCCCACTGGGATTGTCTGACCTAAGAGAAGAGAAAAACTGGGAGCAGTACGAGATGAGGCTGGAGGGCTGGGGGGCGGGGGTCAGTTTGTGAAAGGCGGGCCTAACATGGCAGCCTACATCCTGCAGACCACAGGGAACCACTGTGGGATGGATGTTAAGCAGGGCGTGACCGGACCCAATGGCACTGAGAGAGGCCACCCTGGGCAGCGGAGTGCACACAGGACGCCGTTCCTCCCCGCGGCATGTGCTTGTCTTTCACTCAGCAGAGAGAATACAGACCCAGACTGTAGTCGGGCTGCTTAGTGGAGCAGCGTGTACAGCACCCCGGGCGCTCCAGAGTACTCTCTGAGCACCTCCCGTGTCAGGCACTGTGCCAGGTGCCGGGGGATACACACGTCCCTGCCCTCGGGGGATTAGACAGACGGTGAGCTAAACAAATAAATACATGACAGAGCATGTTCGATGGCGATCAGTGGTACAGCACAAAATAAAATAAGGGAAGTAGATGTGGAAAGCTGGTCGGGGTGAGTGTGTGCAACCCCAACGCAGGCAGTCAGAGAAGGGCTCGCCGGGAAGGTGACAGCAAAGACCGAGAGGAGGGCAGGACCCCAAGGTCTGCAAGGGCAGAGCCCCGGGCGAAGGGGAGCACGTGCAGCCCACCGGACTGCCGAGTTCGAGTTTGAGGGAGCCAGCGTGGGCGAGGCCGGGGCTGGAGGGCGGGCGGGTCGGCACCGCCTCCCGGAGCATCGCCCCCCGCGGTGGTGCTGGTGCTGGCGCCTTCTCACCCGCAGGGCCTGAGCCGCGCCGGCTTTCTGCTCTTCGTAAGCTCCCGTCTCTTGGCTTTTCCTTGTGCCCCGTCCAGTCTGTTCTCCACACACTAGCCAGGGGGATCTTTTTAAAATGTGGATCTTGTCAAACTCCCAAGTCTTCGCTGTATGCTTTGAGGGAAATCCCGAGTCCTGCGCAGCCCGCAGGAAGGCCCCAGGCCACCTGCTTCCCCGCGTGCTCTCCGCCCTGGGCACGCCATGGGTGCTGGCACCTCGCACGGCCTGCTCCTTCCCTCTGAGATGCTCCGTCCCACCCCGCACCGGCCCCTCGCCATTGTCTCAGCTAAGCCTGCTCTTCATGAGGCTTCCCGGCCACCCGGCCTACGAGGGGCTTTCTCCGCCTTCGTCCTCTGTCTCACGGCTTGCTTCCTTCGTCACACAACGCTGGGCCGTTTGTTTGTTTCCGTTGTGTTTCACCTTGCCCGTGAGTCCTCAGATCCCGCGGGAGCAGGACCCAGTCTGTCTGTGCACTCTTGTCTTCCCAGCACAGAGCCCAGAAGCCGGCAGAGCGTTGAACACAAACACTCCTTAAAGGCAAACCCCAGTCTTAGGCGGACTTGCCCGGCGCCTATAACTACCCCGGGCACCCAGCCCGGGAATTCTACCAAAAAGGGGTTCAGTTAACATTTGCTCACTTTGGTGTGATCAGAGGTCAGAATGTGGCCTCTCGATTCCTTTCTACTGCTGTAACTCATTCTGTTTCAGGTGCTGATTCCAACTGCTTGAAAACAAGTGGCATCAAAGGTCAGGACTGTCCCAGCCACAGTCGAGCAAGTAAGCGGGAGACACCACTGTCATTCCTAATTTCCTGAAAGGTTCATGAGACAAAGGAGTCTACTCTCATAAGCTTCAAAACTGAATGTTTGAGTGGACTCGTTGTTTCCCAAAGAATGTAGTAGAGAAACTGATGATTGCTTTTATAAGCGTAATCAAAATGCGATGTATTTCTTTTTACTTGGAAATGGTCTTGTAAGAGCTAAAGTGAGGCAGTGAAGGCATTTTCTCACCATGCTGACTTTCTGAATAAGAGTCTGTTTCTCCTAGTCTACTGGGGGTCCTGCTCGCTGAAGAGCTCAGGAACTATCGTGCAGACACCTCACAAGACGGCTACTCTGTTAGCCTTTCCCGGCACTGAGACAGGTCCAGCCGGGGCAGAACCACGCCTGCCAAGCAAGGCTCTAAGCACGTGATGAGTACTGAGTCAGAATCCCCTAACCCCTGCTGTGAGGGGGCACTCTTAGTAACCCATTTGACTCCATAGATAACGGTTACAGAGCTAGCAAGAGGAGAATTCAGGACCCAAACCCAGGCTGTTGGACTTCAGAACTAGTCTTAACACCATAGAATGGAACAAGAGAAATGCCAGCTTTTCATGAAAAACGTAACTGTAGGGTTGCTCCCCCCGCCCTGACAGTTGTGGCTGTGGGCTCCGAGCACAACCCCTGCTGCCTGCCTGAAAGAAGGAGAAGGTCATTTGACACTCATTTCGTTAATTCCGTGAGAATTAGTCCATAGCTCCTGAGAGCGAGGAAGCTCCGTGAGCCACGGTGGTGTTAGTCAGGGGAAATTTGGCGTCTCTGTATCTGTGTTATGTACTCGCTTTACTAGAAGACACACATTTCACAGCTCGGTAAGGTTCCAAGGGGAGCACCTGGTCATAACTCTGGGAAATAACCCTTTAAAGCAGTAATTCTCAGGGATTCATAAGAAGTTGTGCAACTCTCCTCTTAAAATTAAAAAAAAAAGAAATTAAATAATTTTTTTTCCTTCTCCAAAGGCCTCCAAAGTTCTCATCTATGGGAATTTGTGCGAGACCTGCTTCTATCTCCTGAAGAAAACTGTGGCATTCTCGAATGGGAAGATAGGGAGCAAGGTATTTTTCGGGTCGTTAAATCAGAAGCCCTGGCAAAGATGTGGGGACAGAGGAAGAAAAACGACAGAATGACGTACGAAAAGCTGAGCAGAGCCCTGCGGTGAGTTGCAGCGTGGACCCTTCAGGTGGAGTCGCACAAAAGGGCCAGCGGTAGAAACTGACCTATCTTTGCAGCTTTTCGCTCGATAATGGAAAGGTTATGAGACAACATGCTGGTTCTTAGTCACAGAGGGGATTATGGCTTGTAAATTGACACGCCGCCCTTTCCATTCTTGGCGGTGTCCCCGGGATCGCTCCGAACCCAGGCCACGTCACACACACACACACAGAACACGCTTTGAACTGACTGTGGTGAGGTGCCGTCTCCAAGCTGTCTGGGAAAGGCTGCAGTGTAAGTTGGTATCGGGGTGTGAAAATACCAGGGTAACCAGAGACCAGCCTTGTCACCTGAGAGGAATGAGGAGAGGGTTTGTACTCTGCTGTTTTCCCAGGGTGCAAACCCTCCCCCCTTTCTCTTCTGCTATCCTTCACAGGTACTACTACAAAACGGGGATTCTGGAGCGGGTCGACCGGAGGTTAGTGTACAAGTTTGGAAAGAATGCACACGGGTGGCAGGAGGACAAGCTATGATCTGCTCCGTCATCAAGCTCGTTTTATGGATTTCTGTCCTTTAAAACAATCAAATTGCAATAGACATTTGAAAGTCTTTGTTGTTTTTTTTTAAAACCTGTAATACATGCTGATAAAATTTCCCCACATCTCAGCTTACATTTGGATCCAGAGTTGCTGTTATCTGCTTGGGGCGGTGGCAGCAACCCTTCAGAAGTTCTTTTTCTTCCACCTGAGGGAGGAGGGGATGACCTTTTGTGGTTCCTTGAGCAAACGTTACTTCCCTAATAAGAGCTGCAGACCCACAGCAGCCGGTGCCACTGGTGCTGCCCAGAGAAGAAGGCTCCAGGTCTGCCCTCGGAGACTCATCCGCTGCTCCCGTCCCAAAGGCTCGAAAGTTTTCACGTATTTAACTTCGGCAGCTCACAAAGGAAGAAAAAGTGATAGTTTGTAATTCATAGAGTGGGAGGGGGTGAGACATGAGTAAGACAACTGTAGATTTCAAATTAAGGTTAAATTCCATAGAAAAGTCTCTTAATTAGTAAAAGAGACAAGCCCTCAAGGTGGGACATAGCTGGATTTAGCATCGGTTAATAGTAAATTTCTTCACCGGAACCTGTTTTTGGCCGCTCAGCAAAACTCCCACCGCCATCCTTCTAGAGTAACACACTTGAAATTAGGCACACTACTAACTCTTGCTGAGGTCACCCCCATCTTCTCCTACTGGTGGGGGGGCCTCAGGTATGCAGAGTTAGTCGACAGACACTCCCCTCACTTTCCAAATCACCAAAGTTTCTATGACTCAAGCCGTCAACACAATAAAATCGTAATTTATTGATTCTTTCTGTGGCCAAGATATGAAACCTTTGAAGAACTGGAAATGTCCTGACAACTCTGTAAAGGCCAATTAAATTATGAGTCTCTTTTGTTTTGTCTTCCTACCTGATGTGTACTCAAGCTCTAAAACACATATTTCCTTGACAAAAATAGCGGCAGTGAATTACACCAGTAAAGCTCATGGGTAAAGCCTGCACGGACATTTCCCATCCGTCACTGGTAGGGAGCCTTGCGCGGCCTGGAGTCAGTGGACTGCCCCTGGGACGTCCGCTTCCCCAGAGCAAGAAGCCCCGTGAGACAGGCGCTGAACCGCCACACAGGCTGAGCACCCCCGTGCCGAGAGCCTAACTCCAAAAGTAACTTGTTTTTAAAAATGTGAATTACTGTAAACTAATCTATTTTTGGATTCATGTGTTTTCCAGGCAGATATAGTTTGTAAACTATGTGAATAAAATATTTAATGTGTTAAACTGTCTCTGTATTGTTAAATTCAGCCAAGTGCTAACAACCTGTAAATCCTTTGATGACCTTCCATTTCCTAGCATTTAGGAGATGCGGAGTTTTAAAGAGCCTCAAAAGAAGCAAGAAATCTATGGAATGATGCTACCCACCACCTTTGCAGCGTAAGACAGCAGTGCCCTCTCAGAATGGAGCGCATGGGCCCCCGGGGCCCCACAGATACGTTTCTCTTTGGGGCACACACAAAAAATCATTTATTGTGCTTGTTGTTTTGAGGTTTTGTTTTGTTTCTTACTCTAAATTAGTTGCCTTATTTAAAAATCAGGGTGCTGGCCTGGTGGCGTAGTGATCAAGTTCACGCGCTCTGCCTTGGCGGCCTGGGTTCTCTGGTTTGGATCCTGGGTGCAGACCTACACACCACTCCTTAGGCCATGCTGTGGCAGAGTCCCACATACAAGATTGTTCAGGAACAATCTTCCTCACCAAACAAAAAGAAATCAGAGATACAGAAAACCCCAGATTTCCAGCTTCTTTTAAGAAACCAGATCTGGTAACACCAGTCTCTCAGTGCCTGGAGGTGAGCAGAAGCTGCCCCTCTGGGCAGAGATTTGGTCACCACGGGTATGTGGGTCGTCAGCGCCCAGTCCACTTTGTTCTTGCACTGCCATTTTCTTCATACTTTCAGAATGCTTGCGTATTTTGGATCTTGGACCCCTGTGCTGGCCATCTGCAGCAGTGAGTACCATGTCAGCAGGCTGGATCCAAGCCCATAGTCTGGCTGGAAGAAGAGATTGTCCAGGAGATTGGAAACGACCTGGCAGGAGGGGAACTGGCAGCTTGAAGGCAAAGAGCTTGGCCGTGAAGGAGAAGCAGAGCCCGGAAGCTCAGGGGGACAGCAGGGACTGAGGGCACGGGACCGAGGAGTGACACGGCACCCACTAAGAGACGCTGCCTCCAACTCCACAGGGGCAGCAAGCAAGTCAGAGAGGAAAAAACAAATCCTTCTGCGACTCAAGAAGTTTTCCGTTTTTAAAACTGTTAAACCAGCGTCTTCTTCGTGTGAGTTTCCTAGGCCTGCCCAGGACAAATCACCACGCTTGGTGGCTCAAAAAGACGGAAACGCATTCTCTCACAGTTCCCGAGGCCGGAGGTCTGAGGTCGAGGTGTCGGCAGAGCCGCGCTCCCTCCACGGGCTCCAGGGAAGAACTCCTCCTGCCTCCTCCAGCCCCTGGGGGCTCCAGGTGTTTCCTAGCTTGTGGCTGTAGCATTCCGGTCCGCACCTCCATCTTCATGGCCTGCCCCCTCCTGCTCCCTTCTGTCTCTTAGGAGGACACTTACTGGATTTACGGCCCAACTGGATAATCCAGGATGATTTCATCTCGAGATCCTTAAATTAATGACACCTGCAAAGACTTTTTTTCCAAATAAGGTCACCTTCACAGGGCCCAGAGATGAGGATGTGGAAACCTAAGGGTGTGGGGCCGTCACTCAACCCGCCACACTCTCTGAAATGTGAGTGTTACTCTAGTGTACAGCTGCATGACACAGTTCATTCAAGACCAGAAAATACAACGGACTGTTTAAAATACCACACTTGAAACAAACGATACCAAAGCAAAACAACGAACAATAAAAACAGACGACGTCAAATTCCCTTATCAAATAGCGAAATGAGGGAATAAGCATCTGCTTCATAAAAAGGAGCACAATGGAACTTTCTATAGCAAACTTTCGGTATGCTAATAGGGGATTGTTAAAATTCTCAAAAATTCAAAAGTATGCAGGACTTTTCAAGTTCACGTCTACTAGCCGTCCATGAGGCTCTTTGGAAACGTTGAGACTGTGTCACCCCTCTGAGTAAACCCTCCGAAGCTTTCCTGCTACTTGCAGACTAAAGACAACCCAGCCCTTCTCACGCTTTCGAGGCCCTGGGATCCTGCCCCACCTCCCCTTCCGCCACCTCCTCTTCCTCCGCCTGGCCACGTCTCTAAAAGCTCTGATAAGATTTGCAAGCCTTCAGTTTGGCTTCTCAGATCATTTCAGTGGAACTCTGCCGTTTGCCTTTTGGTGACACTGTGAACTAAGACACAAAGAGATGGCCCAAGCAGCTTGCCTGTTGCTTTCCTCTCCGAGAAGCAAGCGTTAGGAAGTTCTTAAAACTCATTTCCTTAGCAGAGATTGCAAAGTGGAGCAATGACCGTTTATCAGGGAAAGAAAAAAATCAATGTGTTTTTAAACCAAAATTCTGACATTGAATTTGAAGGTGATCCTGCAAGCCCAGACCAAGGCCTCCTTTCAGAACAGCAAGTAGCAGACTTTAAAATACCCAGACCCGAACTTCAGAATGTGCCAGAGGGAAGGAAGGCGAGGCTGTGAGAAAAGAAAATGTGCCTGTAAAAAACACACAGACAAGTGTTCACAGTGGCGATATTCACAATAGTCAAAAGGTGGAACCCACCCAAATGTCCACCAACTGAAGAATGGATAAATAAAACACAGCATACTCATACAATGGACTGTCACTAGGCAATAAAAGGAAATGAAGGACTGATACACACTGCAACGTGTGAGGACCTTGACAACACAGCGCGCCATTCCACTCCAGCGGAGTGTGCACAGCAGGCACGCCTACACACAGAGAGCAGATTCACGATGGCTCACAGTTGGGGCAGGATTCAGTTGGTGGAAATGGTGCTCATGGGTACAGAGGTTTTTGTGGGGGTGACAGAAATGTTTTAAAATTGATTGTGGTGATAGTTACACAGTTCTGTGCGTATACTAAAAACAATTGAATCGTACACTTTAAATGGTGAGTTCTATAGTATGTAAATTATATCTCAGAAAAGCTGTTCTTTTTTAAAGAAAGTGCCAGTGATCAACTGTGTCACACCCCCCTGAGAGGCCGCATCAGAAAAGGAATGAGGATGGACCATTGGGGTTTTTTCTGTGTGGTAAACAACACAAAATTCAGCATTTTAACCATTTTTAACTCTACAGTTCAGTGGCATTAAATACATTCACGCTTTTGTGCAACCATCACCACCATCCATCTCCAGGACTTTCTTATCTTCCCAAACTGAAATTCTTGCAACCATTAAATAATAATTCCCCATTTTCCCCTTCACAGCCCCTGGCAGCCACTATTCTGCTTTCTGTGTCTATAAATTTGCCTGTTCTAGGCACCTCATGTAAATGGAATCAGACCGTATTTGTCCTCCTGTGTCTGACGAACCCCACTTAGCATAATGTCTTCAAGGTTCATCCATGTTGCAGCACATGTCAGAATTTCCTTCCTTTATTTTTCACTTTTTTTCCCTTAAAGATTGGCCCTAAGCTAACATCTGTTGCCAATCTTCTTTTTTCTTCCCTTCTTCTTCTCCCCAATGCCCCCCAGTACATAGTTGTATATCCTAGTTGTGAGTGCCTCTGGTTGTGGCATGTGGGACACCACCTCAGCGTGGCCTCATGAGCGACGCCATGTCAGCGCCCAGGATTTGAACCCACGAAACCCCAGACCACTGAAGCAGAGCTCACGAACTTAACCACTTGGCCATGGGGGCAGCCCTTCCTTCCTTTTTAAGGCCAAATGATACTCCATTGTGTGGGTAGACCACGTTTTGTTTGTCCATTCATCTGTCAGTGGACACCGGTTGTTTCCACCCTTGGCCATTGTGAAGAGTGCTGTGAACATGGGGGGACACACATCTCTTCGGGTCCCTGCTTTCACTTCTGCTTGATATTTTCCTAGATGTGGGATTGCTGGATGGTACCGTCGGACTTTAGTGGCGTGAAAGTCATTGGTGACCTTGGCAAGGACGGCCTGATTGGAGTAGGTTCCAGAAAGCACAGAAGACCATGGGGATAGCACGGAAAGGCAACTCTTTAAGATCTTTTTCAATAAAGGGGGCAATAACAAGAGAGGCTTACGAGAAGAGAGGAGTTGAGGACACTTGGAACAGCAGGTTTGCATGCTGAAAGGAAAGGTGCAGAGACAGGGAAGGACTGGCGATGCAGAGGGGCCAGGGATAATCCCAGAGCAGGCAGGAGCCCGTGGGGTCAGCGCACATTGGGGCGACTGACCTTCAGTATGAGCAGAGCTCATCTCTCAACAGGAAGGAAAAGTGAGCACACAGATGTTGATGCTGGCAAGTTGGAGGGTTTGGGCGGAGGAGAAGATAACGAAGTTATCCTATCCTGGGTGAAACAAGGAGCTGAGAGGGAAGGGGAGAGACGAGGAGGAGAGTTTACGGAGGGAGAAAAGAAAGACAGATTTCCAGGCAGTGCTGAGGGCCCACTTGAGGTTTGGGGTTACATTTTTAAAAGCCCAGCCAGAGGGTTGTATTTCACTCCAGCCGTGTCATTTCCGGTGCAGGCAGTGCGTCCTTCACCAAGGCCGGGTTCTGGAGTAATTATTTTCAACTACATAAAATCTGAACAGAGTAGAAGGGAAGTACGGACAGGAGGAGGGTGATGACCAGTGAAAAAGAGGAGGGTCAATGAACTGAAGGTTCTAGAAATGTTGAGGAACTGATGGGAGGGGAAGTCTACGGTAAATCAGATTACCGTTCTGATCTAGTCAGACACACACACAGTCACCTCCACAGTGGAGGACACTGCCTCACCCTTGGACTTTGGGCTTAGCCATGTGACTTGCTTTGGCCAATGAAATATTAGCGGGCATGATGAACAAAGGCTTGGGACAGACCTGTGCAATTGGGGTAGCACTCTTGCGATCCCAATTTCCTGAGAAAGGAAAAATAATAGGTTTCCTTTTCTTGCATTCTTGCACTTCACTATGGGCTAGCCATCACCATGGGTCCCAGAAGGATGAGAGACATGGCACAGAGCCACACCAGCCAATCGCCCCAGCTGAGCCCAAACTAGGTCAGCCACTCCTTAGCCAACTTGGACACATGAGTGACATGCGATCACTGTTTTAAGCCACTGAGTTTTGAGGTGGTTTGTTACAAGCAAAAGCTGACCAAGATAGGATCCTAGGGGCATTTAGCTGGAAAGATGTGGTGGTCAAGGTCAAATATACTTAATAATCATCACCCAACCCTGGGGAGATAAGAACAATTATTGGTCCCATAGAGAGAAAGGAACTAATACTCAGGGGGTGAAGCAACTTGCTCAAATGTCCACAGGTAGGAAGTGGCAAAGCTTGGATGCGAATCTAGGTGCGTCTGGTTCTAAAGCCACTATAACATGCCTCCCCAATTTTATCCTACTTACCAATTTGGCTCAGGAACTTTTAGGACATATCTTAATGTCACCTTGAAGGAATATATTAGATAGTACCTCCCAGGAAGTAAAACCCAACTGGGGGAAGTTGACCTCAACAATATTTATCTTTGACAATTACAATTACAGGTCTCCAGAGCAAAACTGGAGACACTTCCGTGTATCAGATTTTTACATACAGGAAACATGTTAGATACCTGTGATTTTTTTTTTTTTTTTTTTTGAGGAAGATTAGCCCTGAGCTAATTGCTGCCAATCCTCCTCTTTTTGCTGAGGAAGACTGGCCCTGAGCTAACATCCGTGCCTGTCTTCCTCTCCTTTATATGTGGGATGCCTCCCACAGCATGGCTTGACAAGCGGTGCCATGTCCACACCCGGGATCCGAACCAGCGAACCCAAGTCTGCCAAAGTGGAACGTGCACACTTAACCACTGTGCCACCGGGCTGGCCCCGATACATGTGATTTTAACTACACTTATTTTTAGACTACAGAATAGAACAAAGCCGCAAATTATCTCAAAAACTCTTTGTTTTTACATCCAATATTCAAAAAATAAACCCCTTCTCATTGTCATATTTTACTAATTTGTATGAGTTTATCTTATATATTGAATACATAAAGAGATATAACTATAGTAAAGTTACTATATTGAAAGTATTCATCACTGGGTACAAATGAATAAATTTATTTTCTGTATCTACAAATATAAGTTTCCAAGCACACTCAAATATAGGAGGAATTCAGGAAAGAGAGTTTGACAGGAGAATAAAGAGGTTTGAGCTAAAAGATCAAGAGTTTGTGTCTATAAGTGGTCGTACGGTTTCTGGAAGCCCAAAATCTCAGGGAATTCCTGAGAGTGAGGACAAACAGGTATTGAAGATCTAGATGAAGGGAATAAGGATTTCCAAGGAAAATATGTTTTCATTGGTATTCAGAATTCACCGTGAAATTGTTCCATGTGATTTTCAAGCATGATAGGCAAATATGGGTTTAAAAAAAGAAAACAGCTTAAAGTTCCGAGGTCTTATTTTAAAAATTCATAATCAGATAAGGAAGTGAGCTGATGAACAAGAGATCTAAGCATTTTCACAGTTGGGAAGTCTGCTATTCTCCCAGCGCAATCAAAGGTCTGTCCCCAGTATCTCCGACAGCTCTGTCTAAAAGGCTGTTCGTTTAACCAAGAACGTAGTATCCTCACGATACTGGCATTTTCTATTTTAAGGGTAAGCCTCTGATAACAGGTGATATTCAGATTAAGAGTCTGGTGGTGTTACCGGCTATAAACATAGGTTCTTTACCTGCCACATAAGAGGGGCCAAATAAAAACTGGAACACCAGCTTACGGGAAGGAAAGAGTTTTTATTTTGGGTGATGTCAGCCAGGAGACAAGAATGGCCCCTCAAATTTGTCTCATATTGTCTCATCATCTCCCTGAAAGCTGGGAGGCGAGGGGTTTTAAAGGTTTGTGAGAAATGTGGCTGCTTGCAGAGAGGGGGGATAAGGAATTCCATAGGTTTCTGTCCTTGGTTGTCTGTCTCTGTGGATCCCATGCCAGAAAGCTCTGCGAAGCTGTGGTTTCTTGATATTCTCTGGACATCAATTTCCTTGTAATAAACTTCAAGGACCTGTGATTAGTCAGAACTTCAGTGTGAGCCCAGCTGAGCCCACGTGGGCTTTAACAACTTTAACAACGTGTACCTTCTATTTGGTTGTAAAGCTCAGGGAGTCAAAGGTTAAAGAGACAGACATTTACATATGAGTGCTTTTGGTTTTAACCCCGTGTATGGAAGGGAACTGATATCAGTGGGACATTCCAGGTTATACATGGAGCCAAAAGGAATCAAATATCATTCTTTTATTCTTATGTACAGATTATTTTATTGTAAAAATGTAAGCAATCACAAATCAGTCTGTTGCAAAATCAGTGCTGTATTAGCATAAATGTAATTCCAAGATTTTTTAAAAATCTCATCAGTTCCAAACAGGAATAAGCATTAAGACATGATGGTGCTGAAGTCATTTTCAAGAGACACCAATGCATTGAGTGTGTTTTTCATATAAGGAACTTAGAAAATTTAAAATTTCTAAGCGAATTATCTTTATCTTTTCTTCTTATATAATTACAGCCATATTTCTATATAATAGGCTATGAGATGATACGTAAACATAGTAATTTCACCAGAATTGTTTCTTATCAAATAAGATCATATTTTTGCTAAAAACTTTCATTCCAGTCATTTTAAGTGAATAATTCAAGCAACTGTCAAAAGCAAATACATGTTTCTTTTAAATGACGGCTAGGGCCTAACCTTCATTTTCCCCAAGGGAAACAGCATTAAAGATCATTATTACATTATTTGCTGTAGAGACGTGGATTATCATTTAAAGACATGAGCTTGCATTTGCGCATCTAACACAGAGAATCTTCCTTCCAGTGCTGAGCGGGCTGCGTGTGGGAACACCTGCGTTGCTCCCCAGGTGGGGAGCAGCTTGGTGCAGGACCAGGGCCCCTGGCCCTCACAGATTAGCTTTTTCCGTCGCAGACAAGTGGGACCCAGACTGCACAAAGGTGTGAATCGCGTTCTGTTGGAAAAGAACAAAACCAGCGTGTTAATGAACTCACTCAGCGGCAGCAACTCGGCATTCATCTTAGCTTTAATTTGTGCTCAAATGAAAATAATAACAATTCAGAATCCATTCACCTTAAACTAGTTTAAATTGTCCAGAGCTAAAATGAACAGCGTGTGTTCTGCAGGTGAATTCTTTACATCTCGAGGGCGTTTCTGAACAGCTGCTTACGAAATGGGATAGTTGTCCCTGAGGAGGATCACGAAAGGAAAGCAAACTCTGCCTCGTCTAACCCAGCACACACCTCCTCTGTCACGGCCATCCGCGGCTGCTCCAGACTCACCTTAGGTTTCTCAGCATTGTATTTGTCCAAAAGAGCCTGGACGCGGGCCCCGTAGTCAGGATGGACATCACTGAAGTTCTTGACCTGAAACCAAGTGAAAATAACGTAAGCACACCCCAGCCCCTTACGAGGCGAGGGCCCCGCGTCTGTCCCTGGGTTTGCTCTACAGGCGAGAGAGGACGCTCCCACGGGAGGCAGAACCACACAGCGAGTGGAAGAGCAACACGGGGTAAGACCGGGGCCCCGATGAAAACCTGACATATACTGGCTGAGCAACCTCCAATAAGTCATTCATCTGAGCTTCGGTGTCCACTCCCCATAAAATGAGAGAAATAATTGAGCCTACCCCATAGAATATTGTGAGAAAAGCACATATGAGGTGAGCTCCATTCACTGCATGTAAAGAGCTGACCCCAGAGTGACTCAACAAGGTCTAGAGATTTGTACTAAGAAACAGGCCCAGACGCTACCCGAATTCAGAGTGCGGTGTACAAAGACGCTGGCCCTGCTGGGCAGCTCCACACACTCAGCAGGAATTCCTGACCGTGGCTGATGCCGAGCAGACCGCGGGAGGAGGTGGGGCATCGTGAACCCCCACAGCGCTCACAGCTCCAGCATACGTGAGAGAACACGCCAAGGGTCTAAGCCAAGTTCTGCCACCTCCGAGCTGTCTGACTCATTCTCATCAGTGAGATGAGAGGAAACCTGCCCCGTCTATTTCACAGAGCAAGTGTCAGGCTCTCTGCTGGGGTGAGCAATAGGAAACAGTGCCGTGGGGATTTAAAGGATTATTTTTCACACCACACACATGGAAGACAGTTATAGATACAGAACGTTGGCTCCAGAGAAAGTGCCCAGCCTGCTGGTACTTGTCTCTAAGCCTTGGGACACATGGCAGACAGCTGTTATCCTAGGTACCCCTTTGAACAGAGATGCGGCAACCAAGAGACAAGGAAATAGCAGGTTCCCTAACTCACCCGAAGTCTGCCCCTGTGGCAGGCCAGGAGACCAGGCTTCACATGGCACAACGAGCTGCCACCAGAAACACCCTGGCACCTTAGCTCCAAAGTTCAGCCTGACTTTTGGAAGCAGCTCAGTTCTCACCCCAGAAAATGTGCGAGTTTCTAGTTGCTTCTGAAGGAGGGTCAGGTGTCATGACCTCCAGTGGTTAGGCATGCTTCAAACCACAACAATGTAATCTGTATTTCTTATCTCCTAAAGTCTAAGCAAAATCGTGGCAGGACCCACATTTTGATATTGGACATGGTTCTCCTGCACAGACCTTGGCTGTAGTCAAATTAAACAGCCTAGGAGAGAGTTCACCCTGAACTCAACTAATTTATGACACATTGGACAAAGAGCTAAGGGTCACTGTATATGCTAAAGTCATCGGAAACAAATCCTGGACAGAAAGTATCAGAGGTTGATTGGGGATTAGCACTAATTTTTTTTAAGTCCACGTAGCTCAAGTGAAATAGAAATGCACCTTCTCATTTCCAAGGTTCTCTCACCCAGCTGCACTCTCGCCTCCTGCCGGCAGAGGTCCCCTTCAGCTCACAAAGCCCCACTCACCGCTTTCTTCTGGATGAAAAGCTGCGCGTCCTTCAGATGGCCGGCGATGTTCTGGCACAGGCGCTTCCTGTGCTCTTCATCCAGCACGTGCAAGTAGAAGGCGCGCACCTGCTCGTTGAAAACAGAGAGCATCCAGCTTATCACCAGCAGAACTCACCCACATGCCACTTTGGCAATGAAAAAGCGAGATTTCTTACTGGCATGAGAGTGAAAAACTTTTTAGAACTCGAAAATAATTTAAAATTAGAGTTGAAACTGTCATTTGTGTTGAGTTCCCCACTTTCCATTTTATTTAAAGCAAAACAGGAAGAATTCGGTTGCTGATAGTAGCTCATAACCGCTTTGTAATAACGTCCTTTGTAGTCACTGCTTATAAATATCTTACAAATAGAAGGCAGGACAGCCTACAATTAAAACTCCCACCACACCTTAATATACCGACAACTCCAGAATGCACAAACTGTTATCGGATGTAAACTGGGCCCACTACAACCTTTGTTCAGTTCACCCAGAGCCACAGAAGAAAGACACTCGAATTCATTAATATATGTCCTCAGTTATTCGGAAGCCAGGATTCCTGGAGAAGACAGATGTTAATAGTGATTTTGCTAATTTTACCTCTGAATGATTTTACCTTTAAATCAATCTCACTAGGCTATCCACAGACTAAAATGAAAGATAGGAGCTTAGAATCAGGCATGTGAGTCCTATCAGCCGCTGCTCACTTCTGAAATCAGCCGTTTCTAGATTACAGCTATAATTTAATCTAACATTTCATTCACTCATTCAACAAGTACTTCTTTATTGAGCACCTCAGTGTACCAGGCACTGTTCTATGTACTGTCCTATTAATGTTTATAAAGCCCCCAAATATCCAAAGAATGAAATTCATAAAATAGAGATATTCATAGCTTTTCTAAGTAAATTAGCAAATATCAGACTATATTAACCTTTATTTAAAAACTTTTGAGCACAGTTTAAATCTGATACCAATGTTTAAAAGTCAGACTTTCCACATTAACACAGTGCAATCAGAGCACTGCATTATGGGGATTTCCTCAGATCTACCTGCAACGTACTAGCCTTCTCTTCAGCTGTATCCAATCTAGTGTTTAAACATCCACTGAGCCACTATATCTGCTGGATTTTTATTTCACAGATTGTCTGCTGCATTTTTATTTCAAAGATTGTTTGTGTTTCTAGATATTTCCATTTGGTTCTTTTTCAAATCTATCTGTTTTTGTTTTCTCACATCCTATTCTTGTCTTAGAGATAATATTCCTTTCTGTATGTCTTTGAATGCTGTGTACACGCTTATTTTAAAGCCCCTTCTGGATTATTCTATCCTGTGTATGACTCTTCCATCTAACGCATGTGCAGTTTCTCAGGGCACTGGACTCCCTTGTATGTATTGTAATTTTGCCCTGTGGCCCATCTCCCACAGGAGTTATCCTCTGCAGAATTACCACGTGTCCGAGCTGTGACAGTGTCATACATGGTGGTCCTTTTGGTCATCTCTGCAGAGGCCTAACAGAGCTCACTGATTCACTTGTTTCTCGGTTCAGGGCTTCCATGTGGTCTTAAGTGGAACAAGAATGCAGGGACGTCACCCGAGCACAGCACAGGAGAGGGGCCCCCAATTTCTCAGGATTGATTACTCCCATCTACAGTCCACATGCTTTCAAGCTGCATCCTTGGCCTGGTGGGTAGCTTTCCCAAGGGAGAGCTGGTTCCTGGTTCTCATCATTACGACTGGAGCTCACGTCTAGCTTCTGCAACATGTGAAGCCTTTTAAACCCATTTACTAAATTCCTAATCTAAGTTGTAGCATTTGCCAGTTCAGTATATCCATTCAACTCTTCTTTCATAAATTAAACTTCTCTTAGTAAATTCTCCATGCCGTCATCTATTTTCTTGAAAATATTAATCACAGTTGTTTTAAGATCTTTATCTGATAATTCCCTTATCTGGATCTCTAACAGGTTTGTTTCTATTAGGAGGGGTTTTTCCCCTCATGGTTTTCAGTCATAAAGTCTTATGTGTTAAGTATGCCTGATAACTTATTATTAAATGCTGGACATCTGAATATGAAAAAATATAGAGATAATTTGAGACTCTATTTTCCTCCAAAGATTTACGTTTGCTTCTGCTAGACAGTTAAGATAGAGGGAGATCGCCTTAATCCAGGTGATCTGAGGCTGAGCTGATGCAAAACCGTGTCTCAGTTTTTGCAGGGAAAGTTTATTGCAGGTTTGCCCTTATTCCTAGGCGTGGCCCTTCCGGGACTCCAACTCAATGCTTAGGATGCTAACTAAAGGCCACCTCCTTAGTAGGCCCTGAACTCCAATTTTTATCCCTCCAGACCCAGAAACATTTCATAAACTCTGCTCAGCATCTTGGCCAATGCTTACAAGGTAATAATCACCTCATGAGGAAAGGACACCAAACGTCAAGCTCACATCTCTGCACTTCCTTTCTGTCCAAGACGTCGGCCCTGCGCATCCTTGCTGCCTTGTTAGCTCTCCAGCCTTCAAACAAGGCTCTCTGTAGTTTATCTAGATTTCCAGTCTTCTCCGAGAGGACAGGGCTGATACAAGCTGGCCGGCCATAAGCCAGAAGTGGAAGTCCCAGTTAACTGTTTTAAGAGTATAAATCTGGACCTTCTTACTTATTTTCCATGTCACTCTTACAGTTACTGGATAGTGCTATGAACCTATAAGCAGTATCATGACTGCTTAAAAACATGAGTTCTTTACAGTGATAAGAAAATCAATAAAATAAGAATGATCAAACAAATTTTAAATTTCAATGTGTAAGCAATAGCCTCATTATCTAAGCTAAATTTTGCAGAGGATGTATTAGCTAGTTTAACACCAGAATAACCTCATGCAGGCACAATTCTTTGAGAGGCAGAGATTGGATTCTAACATACTTGCACCACCAGGAATAATGCAGTTACTATGAAAGGCTTCCAGGATGTTTAATCTCATCTAAATATGGTTTACATCCTACAATAATTTCCTTTTTATAGACACAAATATACATATACACACACGTGCCTTTCAAATAAAGATCTCTCCACAGTGAATTAATTCACGTATTTAAGTCTATTTTACTTGGAAGCCACATTTACAAGTTGAGGCACTAGAAATAGGTCCCATTCTAGTGTGAGTACTAAGCTTAACACCAACTACCCAAGCAGACCTCCAGGACGACGACACTTTTTAGCTTTATTCTTCTCTTGCGTGTGGACTGGACACATTAACGAGGTGGCTGCCCCTCAAAGTTAAAGGGCCTCTTTCACTGCATCCATCTACTGACAGACAGCCCTCAGGCAGCCTCGGGTGACTGGAAAGAGGGTGGCACTTGACCCGGGGCAGTTCACTATAGGCCGGCCAAAGGCCAAGGATGCAACCAAGAGTGACAAGATTAGTCAAATCAATCCGATTTCCTCTCTCCAGAATCTCATACAGAAGTGTTGAGAGAAAGAGAGAAAATGGTCCAAAAAAAAAAAAAAGAGTAATACATGGAGAAAAAAGCCATAAAGAAGAGTTAGCCATGGTCATATAAAGCCACAGCAAAGTTCAAACAGAAGCTATGAGGCAAAGAAGAGAAAAACAGGAGGACATGGTAAGGATAAGCAGTCGGGACTGGAAAGCAGAAGCCGGCAGGCGGAGGGGGGGTCACATAGATAATGCGCCCTGTAAGGAAAGAGCTGCTCCGAATGGAGGTCTGGCCCTTTAAATCCGGGCTCTCCTGCCCAGATTCTTAGATTGGGCTGTACGTAAGCTCCATTTGCCCATTTCTTAGATTTCTATGAGCTCACTGCTTCCCCAGCGGTCCCCACCTGTATCCCGTCTACAAACTTCGAGGGAACAGAGACGAGCCTCCAGACCCTGCACTGAAAGAGCACAGTAACACAACTCCATCGACTAAGGGGACTGACTGATGACCAGAGACGTCTTCCCTGAATTCCATTTAAGACATATTAGACACTTTAAAAGGGGAAAATATGCAGACGTGGACAAGGAGCATGATCAAGCCACTCCCAGGGCAGACAGAGAAGCCATTACCTGAGTGACGTTGTCCTCGTTGGCACTGTTGAAACGCTGCACGTCTGGAGAGCACTGGCTTTTACGTTCCAGGGCAGAAGGCTGTTGCTCCGGAGCACTGAAGCTATTGGGGTAGTAATTCGGAGCGCCACCTTTACAGGAAAACCACAAGGATTTACTCAGGGAGATGAAAAACAAAGCAAGTCTGCAGTCAACGTGATATGAAATAAATTCAAGTGGCGAGTATATATATATGTATATGCACATGTCTATACACACATGTATACACACACATACACGTACATGCCACGAGCATATTATTTTTAAGGTCCGAGATTTAGCTACAGGCAGGCCACAGCTTCTTAGAGAATGCTGCCATCTCCCAAAGGCTCCCATGGGCTGTCTCACTCCGAGTGTTAATGAGGACATTTCAAACTCCCTTTGAATACTTCAACTGACTTCATCTCTAAAATCTTCTGATGCTTCCCAGTACAAATATATTTATACAGGTTTGATTTGGCCCCCATGGAAGATGAGACCCAAAGACATATCTCAAAGTTGAGGGTTTTATTGGGCTTGGGCTCAATTCAAACAATGAGTCACAGAACCCACGGGAGCAGTAGAGTCCCAGCTGCGCCCCTTCCAGCTACAGACACATCGACTGAGCCCTGAGGTGCTAACGGGCTGCTGCCAGGGCCCACGGCCGTCAGGGGTCCATCTGAGCTCTGGGTTTTTGTCTGTGCCATTCCAGCACATACTACATCTGCGTTACAGTGCTCTGCTTTGCTATTCCTTAAAGGTTTTTAAGATTCTTGAGGTATCTTTCCTTTACTGACCATCACTTTATGCAATTCTAGCTTGACTTCCACTTCCCTCCACGGATAAATAAAAAAGGATTTTTAAAATTTGATATTTCTAGTATGTCAGCACTCATTTATCTGGACTATTAGAACAAATGACAAATACAATCAAAACATTTTTTATGACTTCTGGAATAAATTATGAGGCTTTTTTTTTTCATGTTGGCATATTTATTTTTCTAACTATAACTCTGCTTTGGCTGATATTAGCAGAGCTTGAATTATCTGAGCACACTCTGCCGAAACAGAAGGAGTGGCCTGGGAACATATTAAGGGGTTTGAACAAACTGGTCTGGGGCTGCAGCTTGACCCAGCTCACTGCCAGAAGAGGTTATCCAGAGTGGATAACCAAGAGGCACATACGTAGCACACGGATCAGAGCACCAAGTGCATGTAGGGAGAGCGAGGACACCACACTATCATGGGGCCCAATGTTTAGCCCAAGAAATTCATTCTAGGTCAGCCACATCTATATGAAAAGCTAGGTGCTCCCACAAACGGCCACCACAGTGGTTTTCTGAGTTAAGAATAAGCTCTTTGAAATGTGCCTATCTGAGGAATTTTTAAATTCTCTTTCCAAACAAGCTCTGACCTTTGCTCAAAGAGGGAGCTGTCCGCAAGTCATTGACTACTGGAAATAATGATGCCTGTTTATCAAACTCCAAGGGCACGGTCCAAATGCTCTACTTTGTCTTTTGGGTTTTTTTTTTTTGCTGAGGAAGATTCACCCTGAGCTAACATCCATGCCAATCTTCCTCTGTTTTTAGCGTGTGGGCCACCAGCACAGCATGGCTGCTAACAGTGTGGTCTAAGTCCACGCCTAGAACGGAACCCGGGCCGCCAACGCAGAGCGCACGGCCCTAAACCACCAGCCCCCCGCAGCTGGCCCCCAAATACTCTGCTTATAAAACTAGGCAAAGGTGCGTTTTAAAATACATCCTTAAGTAGTTTTTTCATGTATATGTCACTATAGTGAGAAACAAGAATGGCAAACAGGAAGCAATTACTTATTAATAAAGTTTCAAAATACACTTGAACCTGATACAGCCAGTCCCGGTAACAGAAGGACTGAGGAACATGAATGAAAAAAGTCACTTTAGAATAAAAACGCAGAAGACAGACACAGAAAGTATCAATGATTTGGGGCAATAACACACCTCACACCTCTGTGAACCTCAGAGAACAGAAATATTGCAACCACCTAATATAACTGGTGAGTGAGCGTGTAAACTTATCAAATACATGGAAAAGGCTTAGCGATAATTATAATAAATGCAAGGCACAAAATTATATATATAAAATAATCTTAAGCATATAAAAACATCTTCACAGAAAAGACTGGCAGGAAATCTAGCCAAATGCAACAGTTATGGCTTTTGCGTGTTGGGACTATAAGCGGGTTTTTCTTCTCCCTTCTCTCCCTTCCCTTACATTTTCCAAATTTCCTTTAGGGCACATATATTATTTTTATCATAGAAAAATGAACGTTGTTTGAATATAGACATCCATGGCTATAAATATAAACCATCATGGAGATTTCTGAAGGGATCAGTGTAAGCAGCCTATTCGTAAATAGTGTCCTAAATAGGAAGAGGAAAAAACCCTAAGATCTGTATGAAACTGTGGAATACTAAAAGGAAAAAAACATTAACCAAACATGCTCTAATTAGAGAAAGTAATCAGAAAGAGAGGCTATTTGTACATGGCACCAAAAAGGAGTAGTTAAAAGAAAAACACCATAAATTTGATAAACGACCAAAAAACAAAATGCAGTGGAGTTTCCTCTCACCAGTTGATCTGCATGAGTTCGGCTACATTCACTTAGAAAAAAGGTGGTGGCGAACACCCGATTTGCTGTCTCCCCACCCTAACCTTGGCTCCCCCTCCACATGCTAGCTAGACCTGCTCCCCCATGGCCCCAGCAAAGGGCAGAGAGACAAACACAAGCTCTTTGCACTTCCAAGAGTGGAAGTCCTGGCGATTGAAGAGTGATTTGAGTCCGTCCAGCTCGGGAAGAGTCTTTGCAGCCTAACCCCCCAGCCAGATGCTGCTCCGCAAGAGTCAGGGTGAGAGGGCTTCCTCCCCCCCTTTCTGCACTGGATGGACCACTAGTCAAAGCTGAGCGGGGTGCTCTCACCACATAAAACAGACGAATGCAGGGTGGGTCCTCAGGCAGTTTAAACCTGCATTGCTGGGCAGAAAGGACACGGTTGGCAGGATCACGGGTGGCGCATCTGCACAGAGCCGGAAGGCCCGTGGGGCCAGACTGAAACCCAGGGGCCTGGCCAGCATCCCGCCCTCTCTGTGCAGCAGGCCCTCCGCCCTGGGCGAGCCGCTGCCTCACCTACCCTGGTTGTCGAACATGCACATGGGGCCGTCGCGTTGGTAGTTGGCCACTCGAGTGCGGAAGGGACAGTTCACGGGTATCTGAAGATAGTTGGGTCCCAGGCGGTGGCGGTGGGTGTCAGGATAGGCAAAAAGGCGGCCCTACAGTTATAAAGAAGATGATGACTGTGCACCTGACGTATCAAATAGGAACGATCTGTAAACGTCATTCTCAAGTTTCAAGGGCAAAGCACTCCGGACATGGGGTGAGCACAGAACCTGCCTCCCGCCTCCCGCCCCACGCCCCGCGCCCTCCTGAAGAGCAGAGCTCTGCTCGCCCATGAACGGTCCTTAATCTTCACGCCATATGGCCAAATATCCACACATCTTCACATTCGTTCTGGACAACAACTCCTTTTTTTCTCAGATAACAAGTTAGTGCCATCCCGCATTATTTCCCATTCCCAAGGATGTGTCACATTCTAAAATCGATTTGCAAGAACCCAACGAACTGGAATCACGAGCTGATTCCATTCTTCCCCGTTCCCCGACTCCAGGGGAGGGATCGACCATCCGCTCTCAACAAAATGAAGCAGATTTCTACAAAACCAACCGTATGGGAAATTGTTTAGAAAAGCACCTCCCATGTTGCATTCTGAATTGTATCAGTATCACTCTGAGCTCTGAGCCTTTCTAGATATAAATAAAATACTACACGAAGAAAACTACGGTTCAGAATGATGGCCGTATAATGCCAAAGTCCAGAAGCAAAGATTAAACTAGGTTATTACATATTTACCAAGGCAGGATGGTAACCTTTTTGCAATCTCTTTCAGTTAGTGTTGAAACAAAATACTTTATGACTAACTCTGCATTAATTTTGGTATCAATTATTTATATATTCTCATTATTCAAAGCTCTACTCTATGAGCAGTTTTCTTGCATTGACTTTATCATTGGCCTTGAATCTGAAAGATTATTATTATACTCCTAATTCTATGAGCCAAAATAAAAATCAAGTTGAATAGGGCAACTTATGCAATTATTTTGTACCAAACCAGTCATACCAACATGCTTAGTTCAGTCTCAGCATTCTGTCAATCATTTGCTCTTGGCTGAGTGACTCTACCTCCCACCTTATTTCAAACATCCAAGGTAATACTTAGATGACTGTCGTGCAGCCATGACTAAGAGCCTATTGTCTAGAAGCTGGTTGCCTCCTTTGGCTTAAAATAGACTAAGTTATGTTCTAACTTTACCCACAGGATAGACGACATAATGGAGCTCCTGGATGTAGCCTCCAGCACGTCCTTCTGGTTTTGCGTCACCTTATGTTTATAAGGCTGCCCTCCCTACCTGTGGGTGGAGACCCATAAAGTCAAGGTTGGGAAATGGGCACAGCCAGGCCAGACTCTGACACCAACTTGAATCCAGGCTTCACCCAAGGCCCTGTGGCTGAGCTCCCTGTGGACGTGGGTGAAAGGCAGAACAAGGCTCTCCACTCCAGGAACCGGGCGACTTCCCCACTCCTGCCAACTGCAGAGCCTGGCAGTCAGGAAAGGAGGCACCAGCTTCATCAGGGACCGGGGACGGTCTCTCTGAGACGGGCACTGTCCTGCTCTGTCCTTCTCACCGTGGTCTGGCTTATCACTTAGGATTTCTAATCCTCCTTACTGGCTCTCCACTTCCAGTCCCTCCTCTAAAACACCACCCGACACACTCCTGCCCAAAGAATCTTCCTGAGGCCCTGCATGGATCCTGTCTCCTGCCCAGAAACCTTTACTCCTCACTGCTCGCCAAATGCCGAAAGAAGGACGACAGCCCTGCCTGCCATGTGGCTCCTAACATGCTCCCTGGTGTCAGGATTCACAGCTAAATATCCCAAGCAGTTGTAGGAAAAACTAGGCTGGGAACTGATATTTTGACTGAACCCAATAAGGGTCTTTCACACACTTTCGTAAACTCATTTTAAAAAACTGTAAAGACAGCATATTACATTTAAAATATGTTTGCCATAACTGAAATTAACACTGATAGGAATTATATGATTAATCTTTCTAATTCATATAATTCAATTCACTAATGGAATTATATGATTTCCATTTATCATCCTTTTTCAGGACTCTCTTTCCCACAGTTTCAATGCCATGCCTGACACCTTTGTTTTTTGTTGTTGTTGTAGAGAATATGCATTTGCTATGCGGTCCTTTTCCTATGGGGGCCTAGGCCGCCATCCAGGGCATCGGCACCCTTCTAACTGTATGAGTTAGTGTTGCTAACCGCCTCCAGGTCTCCGTGTGGTCCAGAAACTCATGGCGACCTAGATTCTCATGAAAGAATCTTGTATTCCTCAACCTGTGCCCTCAATACCAAGACTACGCAGCCTTAGCTGTACCCTCGACGATTCCCAGCCTTGGCAAATCCCGTTAACCTCTGCTTCACACAGTTCAGCTCCCTCCAGCCGCCAGGCAGGGGAGGCTCAGGGCCGAGGGTCACGTTGTCTTGGCTTCCTCTGCTCCCCAGTTCAGGGCAAGCAGTTCTGCCCACCCTCTGTAATCCTATCCATGTCACTTCCCTTTCTATTGCCAACCCCCAGCTCCCTCTGTTCTATTTATAACCAACAGGAGTGATTCTGCTTGCTATGTACCAGATCAAAGTTCTCAAAACTGAAGAAAACTTTTCTCTTCCTAGAAGCAACAACTGTAGCATAAACTTCTACTCAAGCATTCAGGTCCCCTCTGACATATGCTCAACGTACCTGTCCAATCTTATTTCTTCTAACGCAGGAAAGAGTCACTGTTTACAGTTTAAATACACCCAACAGGGTCTGCTTTTGCGCCTACACTCCTCTCCCTCTCCTGTCTCACTTATCTCTATTAAAAAACAAAATCCCTGGGCCGGTCCCATGGCCAAGTGGTTAAGTTCACACACTCCGCTTCTGCGGCCCAGGGTTTCACCAGTTCAAATCCTGGGTGCGGACATGGCACCGCTCATCAGGCCAAGCTGAGGCGGTGTCCCACATAGCACAACCAGAAGGACCCACAACTAAAAATATGCAACTATGTACTGGGGGGCTTTGGGAAGAAAAAAGAAAAACAAAATCTTTAAAAAAAAATCCTATCTATTCTTAAAAAACCATCTCAAATGCTACCTTATTCTGGAAACTTTGCCATTGTCCTATCAGACAAGATTTCTCCTCCAATTCACCATAGCATTCTTCTGTATCATAGTTATCCTGTGTTTTAACGTCTGTTACAGTACCCAGGACACTCTATCACACACAGTAGATAAGTATTCCAGTTACATTAAACTGAACTAAAAACTAATGAAAAACTTATTTTCTATAAAAGCCTCAGATGTTCCCAATGTCAAAGCAAAAAAGTTATTACTAAAAAAAACAAGGGAACCTTAGCTTGCCTCCCGGGACAGTGACACCTGAACTGGAATCAGACGCTTACATAAGAAGTGGCCGTAGGTCACTTTGGCCTTATCTAAGATGTAATCATTAATCTGTGTTTCATGGTCATAGTCCAAAAACACAAAAGATCAATCAATTAACTCAATAATTATGAAGCCAATTATTTTCTACTGATTTCTGGTCCAAAGAATGTTTCACTCTTCGTACTCTTGAAAGAGCATTTTGGAGAGTGATAAAAAAAATACTGATTGCCCAAAACATTAACAAGACAAACGGCTAAATTAACCCATTGCCTTAGTTCATAAAAATAATCTCCAGATCTCTTTTTACAGATGGTAAAATTCAAACATCACCACGGAAGAGGAAGTAAATAAAGTTACGCTGACCATGGTGTTACAATCAATTAACAATATTCCCTCCCACCAGTTACAGACTCAACAAACAGTGCTTTACTCTGTAAACACTAGGCATCTCTAACATAACTTTTTTTAAATTAAAAGACTAAATATCAAAGTCTTAACATATTGAGGGGTTTTACAATGAAATTTGGTTTATATTGTAATGCCATCTAAGGATGTTTCAGTCAGTCCACAGGAACTAAGGACCCCGATTAAAGTCTAAGTGATGTTCTAGTTAATTCTTTGTATAAAGATTGTGCCAAATTACACAGTGTGTGTGTCACGCGCGCACTCCTGCCTCAGAACATCTCAATTCATCAGGTTTACCTGAAGCATTTTGTCCGGGCTGGGCTCAATGCCAGGTGGCATGTTGTTTGGGTCAAAGGCCAACTGTTCAACCTCAGCAAAATAATTAACTGGGTTCCGGTTTAAGACCAGCTTACCAACTGGGATAAGAGGGTAGTCCTTGTGAGGCCAAACCTAAAAATAATGTCATAGTCACAATTACCAGACAACCAACTGAAGGAAACTAAAGTACCCATAAAAATTACGCTTTCAAGCATAATGAAGCCAATGATAATAACTGAAAATAACAATTTTTTAATCCAATAAAATGATAACTTAAGGTGAGTACATTTGGTTGAGTCTTTCGTAACAGTGAACAGTAAATAGCGACACTTTCCCTGTGCAAAGGCACATCAGCTTTTCAAAATTGCTAAGAACGCTATATGGAGCCACCCAGATAAACGCAAAGAACTTATCAAACAGGAGCTGAAGTGAGATGAGGTGAGGACTCATTCACAAGAGAGGAACTCTAAAGTGGTACCACTGTATTCGTACGACTTCCCTTATGAACACTTGACTGCAAATGTTCCAAAATTAGGTTAACAACTAAAACTATCGAGTTGTTAACTAACTCACCTTGGTAAGATCAAATGGGTTAAATGGAAAAGTTTCTGCCTGATCAAATGTCATGACCTGGATGTACAAGGTCCAGGATGGGTAGTTGCCTGTGGCAATGGCGTTAAAAAGGTCCCGGAGGCCGTAGTCAGGGTCTTCCTGGGAGAGTCTTGCTGCGTCTTCAACAGAAAGGTTTTTGATGCCCTGGTCAGTCTACGGAATGAAAGAAGGAAGCACAAACTGAAACTTATTGGCAAAGTTATGGAACTTTAATTAGTAATTCATTGAAGGATTATGAGTAAGGCTACTCAAAGATTGGATTTTCCTTGTACCATAATTCCACTGTTCAAGAATGATACAAATATAAATTTATCAATGAGAAATTCTACTGGATTAGACTGATTCCTTTAATATCCAGGGAATCTGTCCATGCATTTCATACTTAAGATTAGTTCTATCTTTCCTTTATGCATTCTATATTACAGTCATGAAAGGCATAACGATGTTTCTGCCAACAATGGGCCACATATACCACAGTGGTCCCACAAGATTAGTTTCTTGTAGCCTAGGTGTGTAGGGGGCTGCAAGCTCTAGGTTTGTGCAAGCACACTCTATGATGTTCACACAATGATAAAATCACCTAACAATGCATTTCTCAGAACACATCCCCATGATTAAGCAAAGCATGACTATATCTAAATTTTTTAATTATTGACATATACTTTATTTTCAATTTTTCACCCATATAAAGAATGCTGCATGACTGTCTTCAGACAAACCCCAAAACATTTTGGCATAAAATATACATAACATAAAATTTACCATTTTAAAGTAACCACTCAGTGGATTTTTTGAGTCTATATCTCAAAATGGAGTTGCTGGGTCATATGGTAATCCTACATTTAATATCTTGAGGAATTTCAAAACTGTTTTCCAGAGTGTCTATTATTTGAATTTGTATACTCATTTTACTTTTTGAATCAGAAAACAAAATCAAAATATATTTAAAAAATAAACAAATGATTAATAAAATTAAATGGCTTCTCTTTTTTGCATGAAGTAGTTTTTTTAATTCCCTGTTTTATAACAGCTCGAATCAATTAGTGAGCTTGTGCTCAGCTAGCAGCCCTCCACCCCTACTCTCCTCCTTTTTTATTTTCAACAAACCATAGAGTCATAGCTCACAGAGCTCAGAAGAACTGCAGGACAGCCTCTCGGAACCAGTTCTCTGATTCTCAGCAGGCAAAGTTAGTATTCTGACTTTCCAAACAAGCCATTAAGACCCACAGAAGTTAAGTCACTTTCACAGCTGCTCCCAGAGCAGAATGGCAATACTGCCCTTTAACAGATCCCCCACCTCTATCTTATTCTGAAAGATCCCCAACAAGCTAAGCACCATGGAAAGATTTCCTTAGCAAAAGTCAACTCTGAAAGGCGAGTCCATTTCTACCACAGAAATCTCAACGCTCTCTGGCCAGTGGCAAGATTTGAACCTTCTTACTATCAGACCAGAAGTAAAGCCACCGTCAGGATTCAAAAATGGAGGTCACCATCTGTAGATCACCCAGAGAGCTAATACACTACATTGTGCAATAATATTGCAACATCTTTCTGATTTTAATCGAATCTCTTGGGTTTAGAAAAGAATAATCTCTGGTCAGAATAATCCAGACTGATGAAGGGCTGTCTGCTGAACAGACCCATAAGCAATCTAGTCTTTCCCAGACCATGGACAGCTGGTACTATCATCCCAGTTTTACAGTGACAAACCTGGAGCTCAGTGACTTCTAACAATATTCCCAAGCCACAGTTATCTGTAAGAGGGAAGACCTGAGTTCAGATTGGTCTAACCGCAGAGCCACCAACCATGCTAGCTGTCCCAGATAGAATCACTTCTTAGTCCTGCCCTACATGACACCACACTGCTCCTTTTGGCAATTACAAGCCAATGGGTCAACTGTTTCTTAAGTTGTTCCTTGCCAAAGATCACATACCCAAGCCATAGCAAAAAGAGAGGTGACAGTTTCCCTGTCTGCTATACCTACGTTCATGGTTCACATAAAGATTAAGACAGGACAGAAGAAAACAGGTCTGTGGGATGTCATTAAGAGGGAGATGGCATTTTTCATGAGTCCACTCCTGTCTCTGCTTATTTTAGCAGCAGTGTTGGGAAATAAGCTCTTGGGCAACTAGAGGTTTTTTAAGAACCTTCTAGAGTTCTCTGGAATATGGCTTATTCTAACAAATGCCAAGCTCACACTAAAAGAGAGCCCTTTAAAACACTTCAATTATTTAAAAGGTTCTCAAAGGCTTCCCCAAAGGTAACTGATTTGACCTGATTGTATGAAAGCAAACCAAAAAAAGAGAATTTTTGTTTTCTGACATTTGTAATTCACTTGCCCTGTTCATAGTATACCCTTAATAAATGGTAAATAAGTGGATAGATGAATTAAAAAGTTAGGAGAAATGTTTTTGGAAAGCCAGCATCAGATGTTGAAAGTGGTGGTGAGACTGGTATTTCACAGACGGGAATGCCCCAACTCTGCCTCAGTGCCCCCTCCTGGGCTTCGAAAGATAGCTATGCTCAGAGCACTGACTCAGGGCCAGGAAAGGCGAAGCAACAGAACAATTCACCGCTTGCTAAGTCTTACCTCCAAACTCCAACAAGGAACTCTAGAAACCTAGGTTACAGGTAGAAATCTTTTGCCTATCCTGGAGGCCTGTATTATCTCCTTACCTTTGGGCCCACACCAAACTTTAAACCTTCTCACTCCAGGGAGAAAGAATTTCAATGTGCACCTGCCAGCACCAGAAACATTAAACCAGAGAGGCAGCACAAAGGAGCGTTTTTCCACCTATTTATGGCAGGGTCCCCAGGGTCCAGGAGACGAAAGCTTGACTATTGACAACGGCCATGTGCTCTTGCCCTCTGGCCACATGAAAAGAAGAGACCAAAGAGCCCACACACAGTTCTTCTAATTGGGCTGCGAGAATCTACTCACTCAGGCAGTGGTCAACAAAATATTCATGGTACTGAGCAACTAGATCAGTACTTCTCATCCTTCGGGGTGGAGGAGGTAAGGGAAAGGTAGGGGAGGTCTTGATCTTTGCCTAGTCCTCAGGAGAAGTAAGGAGACGTCGGTGGCAGGAGCCTTGTACCCCCTGCCCCATAGGCAACACGTACCTTATAATGGAATTTGCAATAAACTACCTCTCCCTTCGCATTAACCAGCTTGAAAGTATGTGATCCATATCCATTCATGTGCCTATGTCCATCCGGAATGCCTCGATCACTGAACAGGAAAGAAACCTAAGGAAGAAAAAAATAAAGCCTAAAACTTTTCAATTTAAATCAAAACATCCTAGATTTTTAAGACATTCCTAAGTTTCTAGAAACCCCTTAATGACACAGCCAAGTACCCAAGGAAGGGTTACCATATTTACATCTATAATAAATAACAAACAGAAGAATTTTAAAGCAGAATGATATATAAATTATTGAACTCATGGCTCAAAATTCTATAAACAAAAGTTAAAGCAAATCTGAAAACTAGCCTAACTTATTATTCAAAATTGATTTAAATAGCAAATTCATTTGGTACTCCTTTCCCCTCCTTTCCCTAATACAAAGAAGTTTACGACAGGCTTGAGACTTTAATCCTTAATATTGCGAAGTATCAAGGGATAATGTCTTTAGCACCACATAAGGTCTACGAATGGAAGAAGATCGACAAAATCAGTCACTATAAAAGTCTTCAGGGTGAAGAAATCTGAGAGAGCCTCCCAAAAAAGGTCAGAAGCCAATTCTAATCAAAGAGCCCAACCTGGAGAAGGACATTATGAGGCATAATTACCAGTTCCATCCCAGGTGACATATGATAACAGAGTGAAAAAAGAATGCTCCCACCTGATGCAGAGACTCAGGACGCAGACTCCAGAAATCCCAGACCATATCCGGATCCTTCAGGTGCGTTTGAGGGTTTCTCTTTTGGCTGTGGATAAAGGACGGAAACTAAATGGGAAAAAAAAAAGAAAAACTAAGTTAACAGGAATTATGGTGCCTGACATTATACATCACATTGCTAGGTTTATGGATTATAGTTCTGAACAATATAATCCTAGAATTTTAAACTGCAAACCCTAAAATGAAATTTACCCTCTACTGTTTCTAGGGCAAAGCACCTTTTTCTATTAATCTTCCATGCTCTGCAAGGAAAACTGGACTATTTCCATTAAGTCGGGGAATCTTGAAACTGCAAATCTAAGACCAGTGATAACTGTTGTTATTTGATACTATAAAAAGATACTAAATATGAAAAAAATGTGTTTAAAAAGGCAATGCAGCCAACCTAAATTCTCTTCTTTCTGCCTTTCCGAGGGCCTCTCCTCAAATGCCATTCTATACGGAGTATCTGAAATCAATTTAAATCAACCAATATTGGTAGAGTGCAAAATACTCTATGGCTTACCAACATGGCATCCCTGATGAAGAAAATGGGGGTATTATTTCCAACAAGATCCCAATTACCATCTTCAGTGTAAAATTTCACCGCAAACCCACGAGGGTCACGAACTGTGTCAGCTGAGCCTGATTCTCCAGCTAGAAGATTCAAATGGGAAAAAGGAAGCCTAAGCCAGAGCTCTTTGCATCCAAGAAGCCTGAAGGCATAAAGAAACATTAGGATCTAACTGTTCCAATCCATTTCCTAAAAGTAAATTAGATATTTAAGTACCCAGGTTATTATTTCTACCACCTACCAGCTAATTTGGTCAACAAATTAAATAAATGAATTAATTGAGAGTAATAAGAGAGTACATGTAATAACAGCTGAAGAGATTATCCATTTAAGATAATAAGGTGGCTTTGTCCAAAGGTGATTAAAATAAGGGAAGAGAATAATTATAAACATTAAGGTGGTGAATAAAGCAAATAAGTGAGTCATCAAAATGAGACTGATATTAAGAAAATGAGTTAAAATATAGGTTTATTCTTAATTTCATTTATTTTTGCATTCCACAGTATTTTTTAAATGCACAAACACAGACTCACACAGAAACAGAATTAATCATGCATTGTGGTGTGTTGAGATGTAGTATGATAGATCTCATTCTTACTACCCTGTACCATGAGAAAAACTCTGAAATAGAAATAATCTCACCTTGCAAAGTAAACCTATGGATTAGGAATAATGTTGGTAAAGCATCTACCCATGGTTGGCAGAGTAAATTCTCAATAAAGGGCAGCTGTTACCATGGTTACTGAATAAGGTCCTCACTCCATACTTCCGTGTGAGGCAACCACTCATAGAAAAGTTCTTTCCAAGTGTCACAGAACTGCAGAGGCAGCTCTGTAAACTGTGATTTCCTAAGACCTCAACAGAGTTATAAGTAACTTCCTACGTGTCTTACCTATTTTTCCACTGTAAAACCTTGCATAATTTGGAGAAGTGCTTATTTCCTATTGTCCTACAAGTTTTTCTTGAAATTAAGTTATAAATGCCCCAAATAAGATGCAGGGCTGAGTCCAGCAACACAATCATGCGAACAGACTGACTTACCAACGGTAGAGAATCGAACCGCAATGGGAGTCCTCTTGCCAATCTGGTCAAACACCTTTGCCTTGGAGTATCTGGTGATGTCATGCGTGACCTCAAAGTAGCCAAAAGCCCCTAACAAGAAAGACACAGAAATCTCATCCTGGAGACCATCACTCAAACCATCAGGCCCTCAATGGACATCTGGGTGACTAGAGAAACTGATGGTTTAGCACTGGCCTTCTGGGAGCTTCCAATATGATGGGAGAAGGGGAGATGTCCGAATGCAAGTGCAAAGAGCAGAATGCAAACCCCTGTTATCGTTCAGTGCTAAGCGGAGGGCTACACAGCTGGAGCCAAGAGGAGGAGATGGGCAAGGCTGGAAGCCGCTCATCACGCAGGGTCTGAGAGGGCCTGGAACTCCACGTGGGACTCAGGAGAGAAAGAGAAGAATGGGGAGAAGGAGAAAACACAGAGAGAGAAAGAACAAACACTTAGAAAGGACGCCACAGAGCCACACCACACACCGAACAGCAAACCAAAGCCACAACGGAAAAGCCACACAAAGAACATTGGAGGAGCTGGAAGAAGAGGGGATGAGACCAGGAAGTCCTCACTGGGACTGCAAGGGGGCAGCTAAGAGAACAACTTTCTCCTCCTTTCTATCAAGCTTTCTTTTTCCTACTGAGTTTTTAGCTTTCTTTGAAACACCACCCTCATCTTTTATCTCCGTAATAAAAGCAAGATAAAAATTTTACAGATGTCTTGACCCAAAAGGAAAAATCACCACAAACCCACCACCCTAACACAACTATCCTCAATTTTGCACAGCTCATTCCAGTATCTATCCAGCTAGTGCACCATCTAAATCGTGTTACAATTACAGGACATCTGGGTCTGTATTTCCATATTCTTACTTCTTCACTAAACTGTATGATGGAAGAAAAGGAAGATTACTCTTATTTTTAGTAAAATAAAGTATGTTTATATATAATGTTCAATCCAGGGAAATAACCATCATTTCATTTCTAACTCCTCTGCTGACGGACGTGTTTTCCTTTCTCCCAGGAAAGGAGATTTTGGCCCTTCTATTAAAAGAGCTCCAGCCTTCTGAGAAATAATTTTTAACCCAAGTGCTATGAAACAATCCTTCTGCAACAAATAAACAGAGCTCTCACCTGCTCCTTTAGCATGCACGACTCTCTCAGGAATTCTCTCCCGGTCAAAGTGAGCCATCTCATCAGTGAAAACCACATCCTGAACAAGGAGGGGCCCTCGGGGCCCTGCCGTCATAATATTGAGTTTGTCTCCTATTGGGATACCAGCCCCGGTGGTCAGAACATCAGGCTGCTAAGAGAACACCAAAGGAAAAAGGGCAGGAGAGTCAGCACGATCAAACTCCTACTTGACACTGTCATAGGCTACACTGCTTTGCAATTTTTATACCTTCTGCCCAAATTCTTTTTAAACTTCCTGTGTCCAAGGCACTAAAATACTACAGATATGCTGTTTCCTGAAATTTATAGTCAGGTCTCAGAAATCCCAGATGAATCCCAAACTAATCTGCTAAGAGATCTGCTATAAGGGCAGAAAGATAGCAAAATACTCAGCCAACGTGCTCAGCATCTGCTCTGCATACAGCCAGCGGCTCCGCCCAGGAAGCCCCAGGTAGAGATCCCCAAAAACGGATCAATCGTGCTTCACGTCCAAACGAATAGGGAGGAGACGGTCTCTGCAGAAGCTACGCTAGTTAACGCCTTACTCAGAACTTACAGATGCTTTGTACCGTGGCGGATGTTAAGGTGGGCGCTGGCAGAGTGCATTTTCTCTGTGGATCCTCAGTGGATCCCAGCTATCTGCAACACCTCTTTTCAATTCCCAAAACAAAAGATCAATGGCTTTTATTGTCACTGAAAATTATGGCGTCAATTTTCTAAACATGTCAAATGTCTCTGAAATGGATAGAACTCGCTTTAATCCACCCAATCCTCCAGTTTTGGCTACATCCGAAGCCTCTCGGCTGTCCCTTCTCTAGGGTGCGAGCAGTGCTTTTTCAAGCCTCATGATTCTGGGCAGCTCTTCCCTGCATCTCCCGTCTGGTTCCATGGTCACACACTCTACTTTTGGCCACAGATACCTCCTCCCTAACGTCCCCCCTGGTGCCTGGGAGATGAGGGGAGAGTGTGGGTGCAGAAAGCTAAGCTGCCTCCATCCTGGGAGAATAACTCAAGAGGCCTCCTGACCAAAGTCAATGCTACCAGCTTCACAAACCCAGAAAAGCATTAAGCTCAGAGTTTCCACAAACCTGGAGCAGAGTATATAACTTCTATTCTCCATGCACGTCTGTCCTGAATATTAAAATAAAGTTGCTGCCTGCCTCTTTTCTGGAACGGGATACGGGGGGTCGGAGGGGGGCACTTTTAAGTACTATAAAAGTACTGTGTGAGCTCTTTGGGAAAATGCACTGAATAAAGGAGATCTTGGAGTTTGCAAAATTAGTAAACAAGACTCACACACTAGTACATGCCCCTTGCCCACCGGCGTCCTGCTCACACTGGAATGGGAAGAGGCCCACAAGCCCCGTGAAGAATCGTGCGTGCTGGCACCACAGACCCTTCCCCTCCAGCTCTGTCAATCACCCCATGTGTAGTTACCAGCAAGTTACTTACTATTTTCTGAGTCTCAATTTTTCATCTGCAAAATGGACAAAAAGTAACTACTTCCCAGAGTTGATACACGGATTACACAGATTAAAAGAGCTAAATTTATGTAAAATATGGGCCACACCACTCACCAGCTGTGAGAAAGTGACCTGATGGCAGAAGCCAAGCATTTCAGGTCGTATTTTCCAGTAACTGGGCGGATGTGCGGGCCTGGGTCCACACTCTCACCCCACCCCTCACCCTCCAGCAGCAACCTCTTCCTGACTGCAAGGAAGTGTAAGTCCAGTCAAAGGTCACCACCCAAGCACGCCACTCTCTTTGGAAGACACACATGCGCTGATCCATGTGACACTGCATACTTTTAAATTTAAAGTAGAAAACGAATCAGAAAAAGGACAGTAAACTTGCACAACTTCACCTTCAGTTTAAACCTGAAACCTGACTGTCAGCCTCGCTGCCACTGGAACCACCTGGGGAGCTTTTTAAAGCATAGTGGTGCCTGGGTCATTCTCCGGGAGATTTCTGATACAATTAGTCTGTGGGAGGCCTGAGGGTCGGGGTTTTTTTGAGCTCCCCGGGTGATTCCAAAGGGAAGCCAGGTGTGAGAGCCACTGACTTAAAGCTTTTGGATAATCCAAAATTAAAATAATAAGAGTCTAAGCAAACTAAATCTGTTCCCTCTTTATATGTTGTTTTCATCATATAAACAAGGCACCAAAGGAAGCCTAAAAAGCAATAAAGAGGCCATCTCATAAAGGAGAAGAGCAGGAGAAAGGGTGCCGAGAAGCTCAGCCAAAGGAAGGGCAACCTAAGGTCAGTGTCTACATCCCTGCATCCCTAAGGCAGGCAAGGAGCTACCACTAAAAGAGAGAGGAGACCACACCACATGTCCCCTCCTGATGACCAGGTCAGGGTGATATGGTCAAGATTAAAAACTATGCCCAAAGGAGGGAGAAGCAGAGGAAACTGGATAAGTGAATGGATGGCTGAAGAGCTAAAGAATGAGATGGTCTCACCTGAATTTTGCCACCATTGGGCCTGCCTCCCACCCAACACGGGCATCTCCTCCATTGCACCAATCCCATTAAGGAAGGAAACCTGGGCTTACAGTTACAAATGTAGCATTCAGCACCTCTTCTAATTCCCTCTTCTAAGAGATCAGCTGTTCTCATTTTTAACAGCTTTCCTCACACAAGCTATTCTATCTGCACTTTGCCTTCAAAACAAGTGTGGCAGGAAAGCCTTCCACGGCCTCAGCAACACAACAGGGAGGCCAGTGGGCAGAGGCCAGAAAGGAAAGATCCCGACCTCAGGGGATGTTTAAGGCGACATTAGATCCGAGAAACTGACCCAAACGAAAGGTAAGAAAGTGTTTATTACAAGGTGAGGAGGAGGGCGCAGCACATTTGTCAAGATGCAAAGAGTTATGCAGTGAAGCTTTATTAAATAAAATGGCGGGGGAGGGGAATAGACTGCAGACAGCAAATTTTTACAAATCATTTCTGAAAAAAGTACGAGGCGTTAGACAAGGTTCTACAAGATAACGAGGTCCCAAGGTGGAAAGAGGAACTGCCTCATATTGCCTCTGACCTCAGAAACATTTTCATGTGACAGGCACGCAAGCATGGACTCTGAGTTAAGGCTTCTTCCTCAACGTACTCAAGACAAAAAGGAATGAGAAGCAGTTACTCAATGCATCTGCTTGCCTTGAGGGAAGCTACATTCTAACCACATCTCCCAAAATATGACAAAATAGACAACTTAATCGTCTCCCTTGTGTGAGGGATCAGAATTTGCTACCCCAAAACGTGTCTCTTTGGCTTGTTTTTAAGAACAAAATACTAAGAAACTTTGACCTTCCCTGTAACTACCTAAAAGAATCTAAGATTAAAGGCCTGTTCCAAGAAGGAGCTCTCACCATAGATAACTCCAGGTGTGGTCGACAGAAAAGCACCTGGTGAGGCACAATTTTATCAAAGTAAGAAGGCCCAGCAAAGATTTGTTATCGAACATTTGCTTTTCCATCTCCCTGTGAATTGCCATCCTCCCTTTGGAAGTCCCAAACCACTACCCCCAACATCCTTCTTTGTCTTTAGCTAAAGACGGTATTTAAGGTGGCGCCTTTGGCAATTTTGGCGAGCTACTTAGTTTTCCTGAGTCTCTCCCATGTGTGCATGTTATAAAGCTTTGTTTGATTTTCTCCTGTTATTCTGTCTCATGTCAATTTAATTCTTGAACCAGCCAGAAGAACCTAGAGGGTAAGGACTAGCTCTTCCTCCCCCACAGTTTGGCAATGAGGATGGGATAAAACTTCACTGGCTGGATGCTGCTTGCTCCTGGACTACTGCAGCTCAGAGATCCTGGATCCCTAAGAAGAGCCAGCAGGAGACAAGAGTTCTTACCACGTCAGTCTCCCAGATCTCTGCCTGCAGGGTCCAGTGGAAGCAAGAGTGGTGAGTTTTGTTTCCTTGTCTCAATTTAGACTAGCAGGAGAAAATATTGGTGAAGCTAGCTTCTTGTACTGAGTGACTCTGGGAAATTTGGTTTGGGTCCTCATTGGTTCATTGATCCTTCTCCACCCAGAGATGGTCACTATTTTTCCTTGTCTCTGTCTTTTTTGTTTGTCATGTGGCATAAAAAGGAAAAACCACGGGGCAAGATGCAGGCATCTCTACAAGCCTGTTGTCTGGGCCAGCCCACAGTGAACTTGGCTGTGGGTTAATATGCACGGGAGGGGAAAGCTGTTGCTAAGGGGCATCTTGGAAGCCAAAGAGGGTGCTAATTTGGTGGACACGGGTGGAGCAGTTAAGAGCCATTAGGGCGCTCGCCACCTCAAGAAGTCTCCTGTAATAGGATAAGTTGGTCAAGGAACGGGGTAGATGACACAGGTTTCCTGCCAGCCTCATGAAAATTCCCATGCAGCAAGAGTTGTAAAACAACACACACTCCCTCAAACCTCCCTCCTAGGTATTATTCGGGCTCCAGGAGACCCAAGGCTTAGCTAAAGCTGTCCATGTGCATATAAGATGAGGTTTTTCTCTTTTGTCTTGTTCCGTATCTTGAGAGCTTGGCTTTGTGACCCTTCTGGTCTCTGCCATCGGGAGGACACATGCACTAGCATGCATCTTGGCAGCCAGTTGAACAGACGGGTTCTGAGACACGCTCTCTTTGTCTGGCTGTCTCAGCTCTCAGGGGAGTTTGTCGTCAGGGGTCCCAGTCCATCAGGGCCTTTGTCATCTCAACCTGCATTGCTTGTTATTGCAGCACCTGCGCAACAAAAGCCTCTGCTTTCTTAGACCATTTTTGGGAGCAAACATTCTGGATCTGGTGAGGGTGGCTTCTTTTGCACTCTCTTTTGGGGACGTCTCGTATGTCCAGGGTTAAGCCATAAAAGCGTTAGCGAGCAAGGGCTTGCCTCCCGATGCGCACAGAAGCTGACACCGTGGCACGCAGCCTTTGAGAGAAGAAATGCTTTATTGTGCAATCGACTGGCAAGGAGACAGAAGGCCAGGTTCTCGAATCTGTCTCATGGGTCCAAAGTATGAGATAAGGGTTGGGGATCGGGGAGGGCAGGCTGGTCTGCAGAAGCACGGGCAGGATGAGTTTCAATTGGCAGATCAAAATTTTCTCTTCTGTACATGCTCCCGGCTGGCTCATGACCCCTGAAAAATAGCTTTAAGATCT